TATATATATATATATATATATATATATATATATATATATATATATATATATATAATGATGAAATTTACTTCACCTGTGCTTTGAAATGTTCACTTAAACACCTTATGGCATTATCCCACTGTACTTTATTATATACTTTATTATATTTAGAGAAGAAAAATGGATGAAAAAGTTTATTTCTGTTTCCATTTTTTTTTATTTTGGCTGGGATAAATCAGTTTTCTTCTTGTTAACCCAACTATGTATTTTCAAGATCATTCTATGAGCTTAATTTGGGGCCATTGTCCTGGTTACAGGTCCTCTGGCTTCCCAATGTACTCCCTGTCTGATCCCCCCACTACCCTTTCTAGTTTGTAAACTATTTCCTTTGAGCTTCCAAACCCTAGGCTAATCCTTCTCTGCTCAGACCTTTATTAATTATATTTTGAATTTTCATGTGATCCATGCTTCAGCCCCTTACTGCTTTTTTATTTGGATCTGACCATATCTTGGGTGTGTATCTGTCACCAAGCCGTGTTTCTTTGTTTAACCCATTTCTTTTGTTTCTGTGTCATCTTTAATTCCCCATTCTCATAAAAGTTTTCTGGTCTCATATATAAAAGAAAGTGTTTGCCCTTTATTATATTATTGTAACCTGTGGGGTTGATGTACCACTTTGTATGTATGTATGTATGTATGTATGTATGTATCTATTTATCTATATATGTATATGTAGACATATAATTTTTCTTTTTTTGGTTATCAGATCATTTCACTTAGAAATACTCTCTAGACTATTAAAGCATTGTATCTTGCCAAATGTAAATAGTTCTGTATCTCATTAAAAAGTGTAATAGCACTAGAAGGCTGCTTTTATGTTGTGGTTAAGTACAGAGAATCATGGCAAAGATACGTTTTTTTTTCTTTTGATGGGAAGAGCATACATTTTTCATCCTCAACCTCTCATATCCATTGTTCCTTCATAGTCTCTATATCCATTCTCTCTTTTTCTTCTCTTCATTGACCCTGGATTATCTTTTACTTTTCCCATGGTCTCTTGCCGAGCCAATCCTCTAGTTTTTATACAAATACCAATATAATGTATTTCTTATTTAAAACATTGGGTTTGTAATAGAGAATTTTTAAAACCACAGCAAGCAACTATGTTAGATATATACTTACTGGAAAGCATAATGTATTCTCTCTTTTAGTTAGAGACTGTGGTACTTACTCTAAGACATTTTATCCTTTTGAAAGAAGCGATCAGGTTTTTTCCTGGAAAGCAAACCTGAATACCAGCTATGGAAGGCTGGGTTTTACATTGTAATATACTTCCCGGAGGAAGATATTACCATTCTGTGGGATGAGAAGACAACCATCCACATCAAAGTCGGGCCACAGTGGAAGGTAGGCCAATCTTCTCCTTAAATGGGATACCATGAATGAAGTTGTGTTTGAAGCAAAGGATGATTAAACAAATTGTTAGGCAAATTTGGTTTTAAAGAATTTCTTGGATTCTTTCTGTAACTATGGAGAACTGTGTTTGAGCTGATATGTTTTCAAAATTACTAATAATGCCTTATGTGAAAGACTTCAGAAATTGGAAAATACTCATGCAACTGTTGTAACATACAAGTGGCAGAACAGAATACTACATAACAATATAAAGGAATACACTATTGATTTGTAAAATATAAATCAATCTGACTTAGTTTTTTTTAAAATTAACATCATAATATTTGTTTTTGCTTTGTTCATCTCCTTTCTTTCTCCTCCCTTGAGTTTGATAATATGTTATATTTTTGGCAAAAAAGATTCACTAATAATAATCTGTTTTCTCTATTATGCTTCACATTATAGATTTTTAAAATAAGTTAACATATAGTAAAATTGTAGTAGTAAGTAACTAGTAGTAACATATTTTAAAATTACTTTATGGCTTTATGGGTTTGGAAAAATGTAGTCTTGATCTAATAGTGTAGGTTTTTTTTTTTAATAAAACAAGTCTATCAACACTCACTATTTGTTCAGCTGCTTTCTTATTGCTAAATCTTACCTCTGACTCCACAATCAGAAAAAAAAAAAACCCATTATACTATCCATTGATTTCCTTCCCCAAATATTATATCAGTGAAATTGTTTAGTAATTTTTGAGATCTTCCATCTTTGACCTGGTAAAATAAATATGAAATTCATTTATATTTTATAAATTAGTGGGTTTTTTCCTTCATAATATTATTGTAAGCTGTGGTATAGGTGGGTGAAGTGCTAATTGGCCTTGAATATCTACATTCTGAAAACATGGGTCCCATGCATTGTCTGGTTTTTTGGAAAACATCTTACTTTAAAGGGAAATTTTCTAGCTGTTTATGTTGAAGAGAGATTTCAAGGAGTATCAATTCAAGGTTTTAAGAACAAATTCCATCATTATTGGAATATCATCCATTTTAAAAGTCTTAGAGGACCTTGTATCTAAAAGCAAAAAAAAAAAAAAAATTAACACTATTATGAAAAAAATCCAGATTGAGCCTATTTTAGGTAGTTCTGATAAGAATACCTTCCTTACCCATCACGGAATATATATTATCAAAAGCAATGCACTTATGTCTTAGGTTGGTAAGGCTCTGTGTAGTATCTTACTCGTCCTTGGCTTGCCAGCCTGTTAAATTAATTAATTACTCTGTCTGGGGGGTCTATTTTCAGTTTCAAGTCATGTACTTGTACTTTGGCTGCCAACAACACTGGTCAGTGCTGATATAAGTAGTTCCTGTAACCACTGCTTTCCTCCTTTCACAACCTGTAGCTTCATTGTTTCAACATTCATACTGTTACTGAGCCTTAAATATATAATCTGATGGGTTTTTCTTTATAAAAATTATTTATACTTGTATACTATATGTATCTTGTGTATATATATATATGTATATATACATATATATACATATATATATATATATATATATATATATATATCTTGTGTCAGTATATACATCTCTACTTACATTGTTAGAGATATCAATACTAAGATGTTATAGTAAGTGTGGATAGCTAATACTTGGAAGTTGATAAACTATTGAGGTTATCAAATATTATAGACATAATTGAATTGGTATGAACTCATTTTCTTAAAAGATTTATTTTAAATTATCTCTATGAAAGTTCTTTATATGTCTTAAATCTTTCAAAGTTTTAATAGATTTTGTCTTAGAATAAATATAAAATATTTCATCATAATTTTATTACTTTAGAACAAGCTGGCAGGATTATGTGGTAACTTTGACAAATGTACTTCAAATGACATGACAACATCTAATAACATAGAAGTGAGAAATGCTCAGGTGTTCGGAGACAGCTGGGCCTTAGGACAGGTAAGTTACATATATGGGATTTAGAAAAAAAACCATATTTATCAAAAGACTATTCTGAGGTGTAAAATTACTTAGGATATTGTTAAATTTTTTTATTTATTCTTTGTGAGTTTCACATCATGTGCCCCAATCTCACTAATCTCCTTGAGTTTCACATCATGTGCCCCAATCTCACTAATCTCCTTGTACCCCCATATTCATTCTTTACCCTTGTAACTTCCCTTACCCCCCAAAAAGAAACACCCACCCTTCAAAACAACAACAACAAAAAAACCCAAATCAAACAAACCAAAAAAAAAAAATCTTGCTGTGAGAGCTACTATGTATTACAGTGTGTCCCACAGTATACACATCTTTTGTCTACACGTCTTTACTTATAAATATTCATCACAATAAATAATTTGTCTGATTCGATAACTCTGGCTTGTGCTACACTATCAATAATGTACACAGGGATTCCTCTTGGATATTCTGTTGTTGGCCCTGGAGATATCATGGAGATTCTGCAGGACCAGCTTCTTTACATGTTCTAGCAGTTCATAGATGCAGTTGTATATGGGGTGGGACAACTCAAAGCCTCAGATCTAGGCCTGGGTGGTAGCTGAGTTGTCCATCCTTCCAGCTTTCCTGTGTCTGCTGCCACCAGGCCAGCTCACCTGCTTTGCCCAGGCAAGGGGTAGTACCAGGTCTCCCATAATGCCCAGTCAAGAGGCAGGTTTAGGTTACATTTGACATGATGTTTTTATAATAATTTATAGGTGATGGAGTTTCATAGTTACTTTTTATAAAATTCTTGTGACAACTTTATTTTTGCAAAAGTTGTCTTCACATTACAGATGGAAAGATTATGTCTCAAGGAGGTTCAGTGATTTGTCTAACACAAATTATGTGTCCAGAGAATAACAAAGGTGATATTTAGACTTATACCTTCTCTCATATTTTTCAAGCATAGAAAAATACGTTCTGCTCTAAATTAATTCAGTAGAATTTGTTTAATATCCTGCTTTTCCATTTTAATATAGGCACAGAATACGAATATGGCATTCTCCTGCATTCAGGAATTTTAATGTCTTAGTTACTAGGTGATGTAGAGAATTATCAATAAAATTTATGGAAATAGATGTGTGTTTAAGTGGATATGCACAGCAAGTCGTGGTTTTAAGAATTCAAGGAAGATTTCTGGAACAAATACTCTAAAGATAACATCTTTAACAGCTACAAGATCTGAGAAGATTAAGTTTATAGCTGTGGTTCTCAACCTTCCTAATGCTGTGAGCCTTTAATTCACCTTCTCATTTTGTGGTAACTCTTAGCCAAAAAATTATTTTTGTTGCTACTTCATAAACTGTAATTTTACTACTGCTAAACATTACAATGTAAATATCTGGTAGCCATGATATCTGATATGCAACCCATGTGTGGGTTGTGACCCACATGTTGAGAACCACTGTTTATAGGAAAGAGAACAGAGAAAAAGTAACTCACTCAGCAGATGTGAATGGGGTGGAGAGAATACAGAACAGAATACATCTCATAGAGCTCATATGCTTACAACATGGGGTTAGAAATAGAGAATGGCTAAACTAAGGATACGTCTTGGAAAGTGTAGATGCAGGAGGCTCTTACGGTACAGCAAGGGAAGCTGTGAGGGGAGATTAGAAATCTAACAAAACTTGAGAACATTAAAAATGGAAATTCCTAGTATTTATTGAAAAAAAAGTATTTGAAAGACTCAAAAAAAGTCATAGCTTCTGGCATCAGAAATATCAGTTGGAGTTTTTCCTTAGCAAGGCGAAGAGGAGATATAAGTGTACAGGGATGGACCTCAGGATACAGTAGAAATAAGTGTAGTCTACTTTAGAGACTACTGTCTCTTTCAAAAAAGTCACTTTTGAAAAAGTGTGACTGAAAGACATTTAGGAGGAAATGTCTAGTTTTGAAATACAGGAAATTAACCTGGTATATAGACTTAGCATGTAGCAGCATATTCAGGACACTTGTGTCAATTGAAGGGACTAGGGGTTCGAGGTAAGGTTTTGCAAAGAAAAGAAGGAGCAGGAGGTTGGAGAAGAAGAGCTAGTATAGTATAGTATAGTATAGTATAGTATAGTATAGTATAGTATAGTATAGTATAGTATAGTAAAACCAACAGGAAATGTTGGTGCTGAATCCACATCAGAAGAGACACTTAAGACAGATTGAGAGGTAAGAAAGTGACTTCAGACTGAGAAACTGCCTCTGTGTTTATAATTGAGCAAATTGTTGGCAGGCATTCCTAAGGGAAGTTTTGGAGAGGCACATTAGAGACAGCAGGGATCAAATTTCAGAGTTTATGAAAATTGAGTCTCTGGAGATTATAGAAATCTATACATCCATCCAATACCTCAGAAGGTGGTCTGTACATCCAATACCTCAGAAGGTGGTCTGTACAGCTAATACCCCAGAAGGTAGTCTGTACATCAAATACCACAGAAGATGGTCTGTACAGACAAACATGAACAACATGAAATATTAAAGAGGGACATTCATGCTCATAGAATATTTTTTTGTGAAAATATCATAGTTGTGAAAAATTCAAAATGATTATTTTTCCTCTGTGATAATCTTTCTCTTTAATAGGTAGTTGCTTCTCAGAAGTGATTTAAGTAATTAATATATAACCTATATGGTTGAGCGCAGGCCATAGGTGAACATGTCTCAAAGGACGAGACTGTGCTGCAGGGTACTGTCATGGATAGAATCAGGTTGGGTCTTCTGATTTCAGTTTAGCCCCTTTCCAATCTTTCTGTCTCCCTTTGATTTTCAACAGTGTGAAGATCTTGTCGAGGCACTGAAGCCCTGCGAGGCACACCAAAACAAATTCCCCTATGCCAAGAGAGAATGTTCCATTCTGTACAGTGATGTTTTTGCTCCTTGTCGCAATGTGGTAAATGAGCGCTTTCACTAAAATCTCAACCGTAAAGACCTGCTGCTGTATATACTGGGATGGGTGGGATCCAGTCAACAACTCATGTTTCTCAGGTGTCCTACAGTCATTTTTAGGGCACCTTTGTTGGTATTTTTCTAAGCATCATGTTTAATTGACTTCCTTTCTTCCTTATCCCACCTTATTCAACTGTGTGTCTGCAAAGGATCATTGTAATTCATTCTAGTTGATTAAATACAACATGCCTACAGTATTTTGTAAATATTTGTAAATTATGACGGGGATACATGTTTATCTGTCATCAGAGAACATTTAAGTGGGCATTCTATGTAAGTGGAGTTTAACAGGGTCCCTGGTGGCATATTTAAAATAATACTAGGAAGTATTCCAAGAACATAACTATCTAACCTCCTTCCTCACATGATAATTTTGGGTCCTGGTAGATGTTGTGAAAATAATTTAATACAGTTTTTTCTTCTTTCATATAATACATCCTGGCCACAGTTTTCTCTTCCTCACTCCTCCTAGCTCTCCCTACAACACTTCTCCCCCAAATCTGCTCTACCTGCTGTTCCCTTCATAAAAGAGCAGCCCTCCCAATGATATTAACAGAACATGGTGTAACAAGATACAGTAAGACTAGGTACAAATGCTCATATCCAGGCTGGACAAGGAAACCTGGTATGGCGAAAAGAGTCTCAAGAGCCAGCAAAAGAGTCAGAGACACCCGATTTCTGCTGTTGGAAAGTCTCACCAGCACCCTTAAGGCCAAGCAACACCCTGTGTGTTGCATGCCCTCTGTTTTCTCAAAGAAGGCACATGTACAGTTCTTGAGTTGTGAGCCAGGTCTGTGTTTATTTTCCCAAAACACCACTTTTTCTTGAAAGAACGAATAATAGAAACATTACAGAAATCAAGATGAGAATATTTGGCAAATATTTTCTTGAGAAGAGGAGAATGACTCTGTGGCTTCATCTGATGGAAAATGCCCGATGGCATTTGTTGTCCTTAAAATTATTTAAATTTTTTGAAGTGAAAAGTAGAATTTTTCAAGACTTGGTTCATAACTGTGGACTTAAAGATTTTGTGATATTTTTTTCTGATATAAAATAAGGGTGGCCTTTTGCTTTCGCATCTCATTAAATGCATTAACATTTAGGAGATCTGTGTATACCACACAGTTTTCAAATAATCAAGAGTAATGTTATGGAATTACACAGGAGCAAAAGATTACTTTAAAGAGTTTAGGCCAGTGAAAGTACAGGGTTTTTTGCTGTGGTTTCAGACATCAGATTAAACATTGTTTTTATAAGTATCAATACAGTGGTTGTTAAAAATTAAAATGAGAACTGCCATGTAACCCAGCCATACCACGCCTGGTCATTACGGAGGATCTATATCTCATCACAGAGATGCTTTCACATCCCAGTTTATTTGTGATGTATTCATAACAAGTAGATGCATAATGAAAATGTGGAATAGATACACACTGAGTTTATTCAGCTGTAAAGAAACATGAAAGTAGATGGAGCTATACTGTATTAAACACAGACCCAGAAAGGAAAACAAACACACAAACAACAAGACCACATCTACAGATCCTATCCTACAATGTATACATAATTACATATAAACAGATGTAAAAGAGTGAAGCCTAGAATATAGAAAGGAAACCAAGAAGGTAATTAGTAGGCAGCAAGAAAGGCTAGGGAGTGAGAAAAAGGACACATGAGACATAAAAGAAGCAAAGAGTCTGTGCCCTGGGGGTGCTTATTGAAATCATAATGTCTTTCTTTTTACTTCCAGATTGATGTTACTTCTTTTGCCAAAAACTGCCATGAAGACACGTGTAACTGCAACCTGGGTGGGGACTGTGAATGTCTATGTACCAGTGTAGCCGCATATGCTTACAAATGCTGCCAGGAAGGGGTGCCCGTTCACTGGAGGTCACCCACTGTCTGTGGTGGGTGCCTTGCATAGCATCATTAAGTGGACAGCTTTTAAGAAGATGCAAGTTAATTGCTGTTTTACTGGGGATTAGTGCATGCAACTCAGGGAACTATAGTTACTTTTAGCTGACTAGATTCCAGTCTTTTGATAATCACAAATTATCAAAATGTCAAAGAGAAAAATGTTTTAAGTTTTCTGTTGCGTTTGACTGCTGTTCCTGCAACTTTTGAAATATATGTTACGTACATCTTCACAGAAATTGTTTATGATTCCAACCCTCTTATGCCTGTGACGTTTCATCCTTCTGATAAGAAGGAAGTTCTTTTTGAAACTGATCTTGATTGATTTCCTTTCAGATTTGACTCCTTAATGATTTTGTTTACTTATGTGGGTGGTTAGTCATCTGAAGAACAGATTACAATTCCGACAGTTTCTGTGCTTGGCTTCGACATTGCCAAGCATCTGTCTATCTTTAAAATAATGTCATGAAACCTGTTTAAATGAAACACATCATCTTAAAAAGTACCCTTTGAGCAAGACTTCGTTGGGTACACTTGTATCTTGGCACCCAAGTGGCTGAGACAGGAAAATTACTGTGAGTTTAAAGCTGGTCTAGGTTGTAAGTAGGACTGTTTTAAAAACATCAACTACACACACACACACACACACACACATTCATATACATGTATGTGCTCTCTCTCACACACAAGTGCCTTTGCACATAGGAAGTTTCTGAGTAATTATGTCATTCTCTGTTATTTTATATAGTAATTAATAAATGCATGTCCCTGTGTTGCACATCCTCAGATAAGTAATATTTAATTTATAGCCAATTTAATACCAACTTTTCTTTTTTTTCAGCCCTTGACTGTGAATATTATAATCAAGGTATGTAACACTTTAATGAATATTACAGCAGTATTATATATTTTTCAGATTAAAAATTTTTGAACAATTTATACTGGGGATAAAACACAAATAGTTCAGGAATTGAGTGACAAATTAGAAAAGCTTTCCCTCTACAATTGATCAAATTTTCTGAGGACTGCTGTTAAAATTTATTTTCTAAAAATAAGTGTGTAATTCAGGTTATTTGTTCTTTTTTCTTCTTTTTTTTATAATTTATTTTTTCTCAAATCGTAATTCATTCACACAAGGGTTATAAACACAGAGAGGCAGGATGTGGGGAAGGGAATGACAATGGAGTGTGGGTGTTCAGGGGGAATACAGATATCTTCAGAACTGGGTATCAGCTGGGTAAAGGTTCAGGGGACAAGTCACTATGACTCTGCCTATGATTTGCTTGTCCTTATCTAACTTGGTATTGTCTGCCAAGGCTTCCTATTTACAAGGTCTATGACTACTCAGGCTTATAAATTTCCACAAAAGCTGCCTGTTTACAATAGTTTATAGCCATCTATTTCAATGTTTTTCCACTGAGACCCAAGACTTGGTGTTAGTATACATGTATGACAGGCCTATTGCTGATTTTAGGCCTATGGCTGATTTTAGGCCTTCAGTGTGTAAGCAGGGCTGCCCCTAACATCTCCTCCCTTTTTTAAGTATAGAAGGGCTGTGGCAATTCTAATCTTGCGAAGGTGGGGATAGAGGTCTGACCTCCAGTATTTGAAGGGGACCTTGTAATGGCTCCAGTCCCCCTCTTGTTGTCCAGTGAGGCATGAGGGCCATACCCATCCTGATGTCTTTTTCCTGGAGAGGGGATACTTTTGACATGAACCCCTATGCAGTCAGGCTTGTCCCTCAGGGAACCCAGATAGATATTTTTATCTTTTATCTATATTTCCTTGCAGTGCTTAGCCTCGCAGCATGAGCAAGAATTCAGATCACCTGTCAGAGGGCTTTCTGGGTGGCCCTTCTCTGCTTGGTCTAGGGGCAGAAGTACCCCCTTTTAGGTTGGGTGGAGATAGGTTTTGGAAACACCCTGTATAAAGTAACAACCTCATCTTGAGTCTCGTGGTCCTCCATAGCTAACTTAGGATAATGTATCTGAGTAGGTTTTGCTACCAAATTATTTATCTGCTGTATCACAGAGTTAGTCCGCCAGGTTATTTGTTCTTAAAGGGCCTTCTAAAATACTTTTGCAATGACACAAGTAAATGAGCAGTTAAATTAATTTTTAAATATAATTTTAAAATATTAAAGTATAGCAAAGGCACAGCATATTTAAAACAGAGTCATCAAAATGGAGAAAAATATGATGCTTATCATAGGTTGGGGAGGAGTATTAATAAAAAAATGACAGATATTGACCAAAGGATAGAAAGTTTTAGTTTGATAGAGTAACTCTGGTGATCAGTACACATTATTACATATAACTATGCTCTTGTTCATAAGTTTTAAAAATTTCCATAATTTTAAATGAATAAGTTTTATATCTATGGCAAGGGTGGCGTTCTTATATATGAACATGCAATGGAATGATAAGATCAGACTACTTAGTGAGTCTGTCATCTCAATGTTTACTATCTGGAGAACACCTAGACTTCTTTCTTCTAGCTGTTTAGTAGTTAGCCAAAAGTAAAAGTAAGACTTTTATTATTTATGACAAGATGATTGAACATAAAACATGTTAAGATGAATAAAATAATCCAGGCAGAATGAAATTCTATTTGTGTACATTTATGTGTATTGTTTTAAATAGACTCATGGGAGTGGAGGAAAACCCTGGTATTTAGTAGAGGTCATGGAGGAGGATTCGCAAGGAGAGGACAGATGCTTATCAAAGAATAAAAAGTTTCACTTTGATAGAATAATCCTGGTGGTCACTAAACATCATTTTGACTACAGATAAATTTTATTATATTGTTGAAAACAAAGAAACTAAATAAAGATAACATGAGAAATTCACTTTACTATTACTGTAAAATATACACATTATCAAACTGGAGACTTAACGCAATGACAATCAAAGCCTTTTGCTTCGGCAAGCATCCGGGCTGGTAGCGAAGCATCTGAGTGGGCGTTTACACAAAGGTGGAAAGAAGGGCACGAGAATATCAGTACAAAAGTCAGAAGGCCACAGACGCGGGCTTGTGTTTTCTCAAATGATACAATGAGACAGACACAGTGACCGAAACTTAGTTCAGACAAGTGAGCCGATCTGGAGAGGAGATATCTTGTCAGTGCCTGGGTAACTCTGGACTTCGATAGAGGATGCGGAAGTTAGAGCAATGGTTGTAGGAACCCAGGGCCAGTAACCATCTAAGCTAGGGAAGTAGCTAACGGCTGAGATTATATAAATAAACCTCGAAAACTTCAAAGACATGGAGGTGATTAAGAAATAAAAGGGAGGCTGCTTGTGCTTGTTCTGTTACGTTTATAGGAATCGAAGGTTGAATAAAAGTCAACATTTAGCAAAATTCTTATGCTAAAAGAAAATCTAACCAAAAGTATAAACTGTAAGAAACTTTTAATCAGAGAAACAGAAATTTACACACACACACACACGAGTAGGAAAAGGAGAAGAGAAAGCTAGATAGCAGAAGACAGAAGACAGAGACGGAGAGAAAGACGCACAAAAGGAGCCAGAGACAGGGACGGGTAAGGGAATGGGATCGGGAGTGGGGGTGAGGATGGGGGTGGAGTGGGTGGCAGGGAGAGAGAGACATGGGATTGAGTATATCAATCTTCTGGGCTTCACAATTAAATATATAATTGACTAATAATAGCAACAGTAATAATAAAAGTAGCTCCCGTTAACATTTTATTTAAGAGGAAATTCAGGCATGAAGAAATTAAGCAACTTTGCCAAAGTCACTTAGCATGAATGTGATGATCAGCTGGGCCTTATAAGCACTTAGGACTTTGAAGGCACTGAGCTTAAAGTCTGAGCTGCCAGGCCACTTTTGTGCATTAGGAGGTGACTTGGTAACTTCCTCATTTAAACGTTTACTCTCGCACCACTCGGCTCCAGGTCCTCCCCTGGGCTTTCTGACCTGTTGTCTGTAGACCACTGGAGTCAGGGCACCCTGGGTTGTACCACTTGTGGCTTGGTACACATTGCTTCTGTTGAGTCGGCCACAATTGTACAGATATACTTCATGTGTTATACGTATTTGTATCCTTGGAGGTTAGACTGGAAAGCCATCTAAACAAATTTCTTCTTAGAGAGAATTTGAAGAACAAAAAATCAAGTCATTTTCCTACCCAGTTTTGTTTTATATATAAGAATAATTCCTGTATGGATACATGTACATATTTATATACATAAACATATGTATTCATCTGTATTTATATAGTTTAAATTATATAAGTAAATATATTCTAAACTAAATTCTTGTTTATTTTCAAAAAATAGTTATTGGTTTATCAGTGAATAAATTTTAAATGCTCAATATTTATAGAGTACTTTTATTTTTAAAAACTTAAAGTGCTATGCTAATTTATAATTATTTTACTTGTGCCTTCACCAGGGCTTGGAGAAGGACCATATATGCTGGCCAGTTATGGGCAAAGTGGCCTTGTTCTCGGTGCCAATATAACCAGCAGGAGCATTTTCTCTTTGCCAAGAAACAGTGATCGTGGTAATTTATTTTTTATTTTTATGATCACTCCGGGCCTTTTCAAAGAGAAGACATCCTGTAAGTATAGTTGAAAATGCAAATTTAGTTTTTCAACTCAGTTTTTTCATTAACCGTTTCCCAAGTATTAATTGGAGATTTCATATGCTATGACATTTTCTAAGTTCCCCCAAGGAATATAAAACAAACTCTCTGCATACAAAATTGCTATTTTACATATAAAATAATTCGCTTATCTATTGGCATTGTTATGTTAGAACTAAAGATGTTTGATAGAATCTGTTTGGTATGGAACAACTCACTGATTAAATGTTTATGGTATTAACCACAGAACTTAATTTGAAAATATTTAAAACGGTGTTCATTCTTAACATTTAAAGGATTTTAATGGATGGTTAAAGTGAATAGGATGGATTTGATTTGGTGTCACATGAGTTGAATATAGAACATGCATGTCAGAGTGTAGAAAATAATGACAATATTTTGTCCTTAGTGTCCTTTGTCCTGATCTCAGTGTCCTTAGTTCCTTAAAACTACCTTAGTTTACTGACTTGTATCAGCAAATTATATCCCAGGCTTGTATCTGCCGGGCGCCTGTTCTTACTGGTGCATGTGCCCCCTGCTGGCCTGTGGTGCCAAGCTGCATTTTCATTGAAGTCTACCTAGAACCATACACAGCTTCTTTTATAAGCACAAGAAATTAGTGAATATGATACAATGCTTCTTTTGTCCTAGAAAATGAACTCTTTATGTTCTGGAAATCAGACGTTTTAATTTATATTAGTTGCACCTGATTTTCTTTGTATGAAAAATTATTTGATTTTATGTTGTATCTTTGGCTTCTCAGTCATGATCTTTGCCAGTCTTAAGGACAAAATAAATGTCCTTGGTAACACTGCATTTGATAGATTTCTGGATTTTATGATTCACAGCAACTATTGTTCTTAAAAAATACAAATACTGTCTTTTCCAAAAATCAACACAATATTTTACTGAAATGGCTTATATCTTATAAGGTACAATTTCAAAGCAAATTAACAAAATACGATCATGCATATCAAATACTTTATAAAGTCTGATTACTCATTAGCCATTTTTGTCATCTTTTGAGAAATATACACTACTACTGAGTATATAACATTTTCTCAATGTAGCAAAATCCCTTATAAGAAGCATTTTTCCTAAAGATACCACTGGTAGAAAGAACAGTTGCTTACCCACTTAAATTAATATGTTTTCCCATTTTCTGATTCTCTTTTTGTCACACAGTTTAGTGGTTTATAGGTTTTATATGTGAAAACATTACAGCCCATAAGTATACATATCTATTATTTTTTTCTCCTTTTCCAAGGGCGCAATAGGTAAATTAAAGACCAGAACCTGCCAGAGATTGGTTTGGTCAGGATACATTGGTAGCCACTACATTTAAAGTGTTGTTTTTTCTTTTTGAAATCTTTCAATTCATGTTCAGCATGCCTGAGATAGGCATTAATTTTGTATGTCAAAATGTTTTCAACCTTGTGAATGCATATTGTAAGGTCCTTGCCTGTGTTCTGCCTTCTCTAAGTCATTAAGACCCCCTGTTTTACAGCATTGGCTCTTGTTTCCTTGGAATCTGCTGAGAGGCCAAACTACTTTCTCTATGTCCATGACAATGACACCCTTAGCTTGCGGCTGTGGCGGGAAAACTTGGAATTTCGTCAGAGAGCTACATTTTTCCACCACCAAGGCCTCTGGATTCCTGGTTACAGTGCCTTTGAATTATACAGCAAGAAAGGCTACTTCATCGTTTTTATGGATTCCAGTGTTAAGGCATCAAAATACGATGATTCGGAAGAATTCAAGCAGTCAAGTAGCTTCAGCATAGAAGGTATGCTTCCTGAGAGCTCCAAAGAGGAGCCCAAATTCTTATGCTGTGAAGACTATGTCAGGTGCTAACATTAGGTCTATATGCAGGCCATGTAAGATGCTAACGTTAGGTATCTGAGCCATGTTACCGTAAACTTTCTACTCTTCAGGCTACTTATCAGCTCAACAGGAAAAATAATGCTGATTTTATCTACTATGCTAAATGCATGAATATTAATGGATTAGCATAACTCTAATAACTTTATAATTATTTCTCCATATATTACTAATAGCACTTATTGAGTTTTTGCATCAGTACCCAGTCAATCACATCTCATGAAATGGTCTAGTATTTGTATCTACATTTTTTTTCATATGGCGAACTTTCTATCAATCTGATCCTTAGCCTCAAAGACAGCATATTTGTCTCTATCTTCTGAATCCAGGAGTGACTGGATTTATTGACCTCTGGGATGTTTCTTTAGTTTAGGAGAAGCTCCATCTGATTTCTAAGAAAGCACCTTTGTGTTCTATCACTGAAGAGATCTACATGTCAGAAAGCAATCCTCTCTTTGTACAGCGGAAGTCCTGCTGTTTTTAAAACACAGCAGCTTGGTTTCTCTCTGAAGTTTCCAAAACACTGCTCCATTCTGAATTGATCCCCTGAAGAAGATCAATATTGCTAATCATGTGCCCTCTTTACTGGGCATGGGCTTCTGAAAGGTTCTTTAATGGGTAGATGTCAGAAAACCCAAATTACTCTTTAGAAGTATTCTATAGCATATATCCCTGGGTTCAAAGATTTTAAGTCTGGCAGGAGTTTTGTATAAATGCAGTTGATAGTGTTGATAGCCTTAGATAGGGCCTCGATAGCTTCCGCATTTGTTTTGTTCAGTGAGACAGAAGGGGTCAGGACAAGGAGCTTTATTATTTTCCTATAGGTGTTGGGAATCCACAGAGGCTGAGGATTCACAGTGGGCTAGTGTCCTTACTCCTAGCTCTCCTTCTCAGGATAGAATTAAAGAATTCATTCTTTAATTAATTCACTTTAGAATTAAAGTCTTCATGGGAGAAGATTCAAGGTATGGGTTTAAATGACATGTTATGTCCAGGTAAATCCGAGCTGTTCCAGAAAGACTTCTCCATGATGTGGGAAAGAAAATTTATTGCCAGGGTCTGTAGGAGAAAAGTTTTTAAGCAAAGGATCCTCTAGAATTACAGACATTTGTCTTTCAATCACGCTGATTTATACTTTGGCATTCAAGCAATACTTACCATGGATGAGACCATGGGCTAAGTTTTGTATAGGACAAGGATGAAACATGCTCCTAAGAGTTTTTCTCTTGAGATGTGTATTTGTATTTTTTTATTTATTTTTTACCATTTTCCTCATTGGTTGGGGCTGGCAAGGTGCTTGGATATTATATGAAGGCATATTTCACTTTCGATAACCAGTAACATTTCCTCATCAGAGTTGTGCAAGGATAAAGCAGAATAAAATAATGTTGTTAAAAGTAAAGTTCTCAACTACTACAATGGGAAAACCGGTGAAAGTGTCACTAAACGTAAGAAACAGGAAAGCATTGAAATCTTTGGTGGCTAGATATGCATTTAGTCATTCAGCATGAGTACCAGATCTTCTTGTTCCCCAAGAACTGTAATGCTGTTACCAGAAAGTCTTGTCTGTTATAGAACACTATGATGAAAGAGGTGCCAAACATCACTCGGGGTCATATCAGAAGTTACTAGTTTTCAAAATACGTGCCTCAATGTGTATAATCCCAACTTCCTCTTGTTTTCTCAGAAATCCAGGCAGTGGTACCTTACAGGAGGATGTGTGAGTGGAGATATGAACCTTGTGCTACTCCGTGTTTTAAAACATGCAGTGATCCGGAAGCCCTAGCCTGTACATTCCTTCCACCGTAAGTAACACTAGCTCATAAGCTCACAAATTCCAGTGGCAACAGACTCTGTCCCGGATGATTTTGTGTTGGTTGAAAAGTAGAAAAACAAATCCAAAATCTGTTTGTTCCACATGCTAACCGATCAATTGATTTAGTTTTAATCTCAAACAGGTATTGAAGATCTATATTATATGAGAGTAATTCTGCTTGCTGCTAGATCATATTGTGAAAAGAATAGACAAACGCCTGACCTCGTGTGGCCTACAGATGGGTTGAAGCAGAAAATAACTACAAGTGTACATATAGAATATGTTGTACAGCTAGGTAGTGCTGTGGTGTGGTTATAGAGAAAATAATGGTAGGAGAAAGAGGAAGAGGAGGATGAGAAGGAGGAAGAGGTGGAGGATGGAGAGCGAGAGCGAGAGCGAGGGCAGGTCAGCTGAGACTCAGAGGTCACTCGGTTCTAGCTAAGCCTCACAGCCTGAAGGAAAAGAGTTTGACTACCCTGTGCCCTGTGTATCTAGCACTGTGAGCGTAGAGGAAGGAGAGCAAATTCTACTTGATTTCTTTACATGTGCATATGCACATGTGCGTGCGTGTCTCCGCGTGTCTCTCTCTCTGTGTAACTGTTTACTACTTTTGGGGCTTATTTACAAACACATCGCATCATTAACCTGGTGGTAGCCAGGAGGAGGCGAGGATGCTGCATGACCACATGGTAATGATGATCCCGGGGGAGCTGGGGAGGAAGTAAGCTCTTATTACTTACTATTGCTACTATTCCTATTATATTTATTATTACACTTGTTAGCCGTGTCTGAGGTGACTAACACCAGCTCTCCAATGCCTCTAGTGTATTGTCTTTAAGTTCTTCCCTTTATAGGGAGGATTGGTGGGGGTGCCTTGAAGGTGTTAGACAAAATTTATACTTGCCAAGTTCTTTCTTATTTCTGCTCATCCTTTCTTTCTCTCTTATCCTTTATGCTGAAGTGTCTAGGCTGACTCTTGATTGTGCCCATGGCCCATGGGGATTCACGCACTAGGTTGGGCTGTAATGTGACCCTGCACCCTTCTTTCAAGTGTCCAAGTGGACCATCCATCACTCTTGTTGCTGATTATTTGGGTTTCTGTTACCAAGCAACTATTAAAAAAATAAAGTGCTCCCTGAAAATGAGTACTGATTGTGAGAAAATATGTCAAACAGCGTATTGTGCAGCACATATGTAAATTCTTATTATCTGTCTTCTATAATAACCTTTTCACACTGAGGGATTCTGTCTATTGGAAGTTGGGCATAATATTAGCTGCATGACAAAGCAAACAGGACGCTGCCATGTGTGATTATAAAATTACTGGTAAGGGATTAAATAATGGCTTTTGGAAAATGGTATAAGAGAATAGGTATGAATTTTGTTTTTTACAAAGAAACAGAAAAATAATTGAGTAATTATATATATGTGTGTATTATAATATATACATATATGTATATATGTATATAATATATGTATTTTAATATAAAATAATATATATATATTAAAAATAAGGATTACTTCCTTTAACTATAATCCACTGCCTTTAGTTTGTCAACGCTCTTATAACTTTAATTTCTTTCTGCTGCCTGATAAACCTTCAAATAGGATTATATTATTGGTTAAAGTTTTATTACTTAAGTTCACATTGTCTGAAACAAGCAGTGGATCACGTAGAAACCAACTATTCATGTTGTAATGGGAGTTACATTACAACATGAATAGTTGGGAGGAAGCATTTGCTTCACAAACACTGCCCCCTGCTGGTGATGGCCATCATGTCAGGCTCGTGTTTATCCTGAGTAGAAAAGCTGAGCATTTTTGTCCAAATAATTAACAGATAAAGCAAACAGGAAGTGTTTTGAAAAATATTTAAAAATGCTATTACAGCCTGCTAGTGTATTTGAGAGACAGATAATCAGCCTTTGCATACAAGGATCCTCATTAATTCTCGGTGGCATGTTAGTATCTAATAACTAGACCTGGCTGCACAGGGAAGATTACATTTTTTTCCCAATAAGGATACATTGGACAGTAGCTTCAACCGGATGGCAGGGAAATAGGATCTTAGTCATACTTTGGCAATCTTCCTAGAGAAGAATAGTAGCCTACATGCTGTCTTCTGGATTGTGTACACAGTCCTCAAGCCAGTGGCATCTCGAAACTTCTGAGACTTACTTTACTTCTGTACCTCATATGAAGAATGAGGTTCTTTATTCAAACTACACATCCTAGGCCTTGGACCTAGTCCTCCCCAGCTTGTAACTATAAACACATCCACCCATATCACTGCAAGGAATTTTGGTATAAACTCTAAAGCTCCCGAGAACTTCTGCCTTGGCCATTACTGCTCCCTGCTTATATGAAAAGAACCTCAGCTACATACCACTCCTTCTTTTCAGGGAGCTTAGGACCGAATAATAGGCAGAGATAAGCCACTGCTGGAGTTTTGGTCGACAGACCTCTTCAGGCAATAACAATCAAATACCATAGCGATCCACTTGGAAGTCTAATACATAGAGAATGAAAGTATGGGCTGAATAGATGGCTCTATCCTTAAGAGAACTTGTTTTCATAGAAGACTCAAGTCATGTTCCCAGTATTCACAGCAAGCATTTCTCAACTGCCTGTAATGGCATCTCCAGGGGATTTGACACTCTCTTCTGGATTCTGAGAGCATCCACACACACATGGTACACACACACATGGTACACACACACATTGTACACACACACACACACACACACGCACGCAAATACACACAGACAAATTTTAAATGAAAGAAGTAAAAGTAATAATATACTATAGCAACAAAACTTAACCAATCAACCAACCAAACATACAAACAAAACCCAATAAGCCTCCACAGGTTGTTCTTCTAGGTTTCTACCCATTTCTAAGAACATGAGTTTAGTGTGTCTCAGACATCAGCATGTACTTTGAACATCCTATGTTCAAATTCTACCTCCATAACCTTCACCATAGTGATCTTCTGTGTCAGCCCCTGGTTGCAGTTTTATAAATTTCATAAATGTCATGCAGTAGTGGCAAATGGAGTTCTCCTAAGGGCCTGATGATGAAGATGAAGAAAGTTTAGGCATACCAAACCTCAGTTACAAGTATTTAATGTAGATTTTTATGTTTATACTTATTTATTTTTCCACTAAAAGGGTTGAAGGATGCTTGCCATATTGCCCCAAGAATATGATCCTGGATGAGGTCACTCTCAAATGTGTTTATCCAGAAGACTGTAAGTATGGACCTCGCTTAATTTACTGGTAAAAGGAAAAAGCATGGATAATTTTTCTCCGAGGCAAATGGTTACGATTAGAAGTCTGAGACAGAGAATAATAACTCATTCTAAAACAAACAAAAAACCCAACCACAACAAAAACCAACCAATCAACTACACAAAAAGCTTCCCAATTGTTTTCTAAAACACTTATGTCTTGCTTCTCACATCCCTCTTTTATGTTTTCTTCTCTAAAATACCTTCCTAGAAGGCAAAGAGCTGTATGTAAATTAGGTGCGTCTTCTTTTATGGAAATACAGATCATTGCAGGGCCTCTCTATTTATTTGCAGGCATACCACTGTTTCCAACAGAACCAGCATTAATGCCACCAGGTAAGCTGTCATATCCAGGGACTTGGGTAGTGCTACACTTTATCCCAGGTGCTAGTACATGGGCTACCAAATTAATAAAAATTCCAGAAGTAGCTTTTGTTTCTTTAAGGGCCATGCCTGTGTGTGTGTGTGTGTGTGTGTGCGTGTGTGTGTGCGTGTGTGTGTTCTATAGTTGTTCTACCACTTTATCCATTTCAGTTAGTGAATACTACTAAGGTTTCTTCAAAATTCATGGTAATTTATATATATAATCCAAGTTTTCTCTGGAGCCTTCGCTGAAATTCTGGATTTTCCAGGACTCTGAGGAAGCATTTGGGCCTCCTACCCTCACTTACCTCTCTGACTATAAAACTTTCTCTAGGAAATGATTTCACAAATTCACTCAGAGAGTCTTGCCAAGCTTGATAAACTCCTCCTGGGGTTGTGATTTACAACCGTTTAGTTTCAGCTACTTAGATTTGGTAAACTTCAGTTTGAATACTGGGTTTGGTTCTTTCCTGGCTCCTGTGTGGGGTGTGAATGTTAGATAGGTTATAGCTTTGATCTTAATATAAACGACAGTTGTCAAGTATGGTAAAACATAACTTTCCATGAATGTAGCTTCTGACTAACCATGGATCAAAAGTAGTTGGAAAATATTTTTATGGGCTGATGACATATAAAATATTCCTTGTATCATCCCTTAAAATACATAATAAATTATTGTTTATATAGTTTTTTACAGTATACAAGGGATACATCATTTAAGAGATGAGATGATTTAAGTATAAGGAAGGAAGCATAGGTTATATACAAAGACACATTATCTGATATTAGGGACTTGAGCATCCACAGATTATGGTGTATGGGGTGGGTCTTGAACTGACCACTCAGGAACACTTAGAGATGAGTATATTATAATGCACTATCTAGGAACTATATAGGATTATATAGGAACAATGCACAGAAGGCCATAATGAATATTTTAGAGGTAAATACTCAAAAAGTTATCAGTAGCTAGAAGTTGTAAGTTAGAAGAAGTAAAAATATGCTGTAGCTTGAAAGATCAGCACAAGTGAAGGTTTGGGAGTAAGAGAGAACCTGTAGTGTGGAAGTTATTTTATTCAACAATAAATATTCAGAATTGAGCCAAGAGATTAGATGAAAGAGATGTTCTGAGATAAAAGGTCTGTGCCAAAAGGAATTGGGTTTCCATTTTCTGAAGGCAATCACTGAGGGGTTCTAAGTCATCTGTGTTATTTCCCAGATTAGAATATTAACTCATTATAATAATCATCAGTGTCACCAGCCTTATGAGTTAATGTTTATTGCAAATTTATTAAATGATAGTCACTGAGGTAAGTACTCAACACGCATTTAATGCTTGTGGAGCTGAGGAATTGATCTATCATTGCAAATATTTATGTTGGGAAAAGCCAGAAATCTTACTTCACTGAACCTATGAATGAGTAAGTCTGTGAAGTAAGACTGAATATTCTGTCATCAAGGACATAGACTGATATTTGTAAATACCAGTGTTTACTTTGATATCACAAATCAATACTCAACGTACATCTCAAATGTCTAACCTACTTAACCACAATAATTCCACATGTAGAATATATATGTATTATACTTCATAAATGTGAACAGAAAGAAAGCAATATCTATCATCTATCTATCTATCTATCTATCTATCTATCTATCTATCTATCTAGTCAATTAAGTAATAAATCCCATCAAGCTTAAAGAATGTTAAGATTAATATAAAAAATAATTTGTCTCTCTCTACACAAGCAATGCAGTATCTGAAAGGAAATGAAGAAATAATATTAACAGTCACATCAAAAATTAATAAAATATGCTGGGAGTGGTGGTTCATATATTCAATCCTAGCACCCAGGAATGAGAGGCAGGCAGAACTCTGTAAATTCAAGGCCAGACTGGTTTACATAGTGAGTTCTAGACTTGCCAGAGCCACACAGTGATACAGGCTAAAACAACATTAATGAACAACAGGAAACACTTGAAAATACATTTAACAAAATAGTGCTGGGCTGAAGTATGGTTACAATGAAATGTGCAAAACATTAGTAAAGGAGTTAGGCAGAAGGACACAAGTGGGAAGACATCTTGAATTCAAGACATCTTGAATACAGAAGAGTTTGCATTGTTGGGATAGCAACATTCTTAAAATTTGTCTGTTTGACAAGGAAATTGTCAAAGTGACTCTAATGCCTAGAATAAAATATTCTATTCTGGAATAGCCAAAACAGTATTGAAAAAGAATCAGAAAATATGGAGACCCACCTATCTCAATCTGAAACATCCCATGATTGCCATGAGATTCTACAGTCAGACGCTGCTGGTGACTCTATGACGATTCTGGGTACTACTGTGTCTTTTGCTATGTAGATCATAAAAACCTCCTAGTCACTAGACTCCCTTGTGCTTTTGTGCTATGACAGGATGAGAACTTTATATCATTTTACTTGGGAAATGACATTTAAGTCTCTATTAAACCTTATTCTCTGCATGAGGCAACATCTAGATGTATAACATGAACGTTGTTCACATGATCAGTGAGTGGGATTTTTGACATATATTTTAACTGTTCTTCAAATTAGAGACTATAAATTAGAACACAGATAAGGGTTACCTACAGAATTTACTAAAATTGTATAGATGTTATCTGTAGAATATGGTAGACTAAGATGGCTCTTCAAAAAAAGTGTATGTCTTCATCTTCCTGTTGGTCTCTGTGTGATGTTTCATGTCAAAAGGACTTTGCTGATATAAAGTTGTTGATTGATTTGTGACTGTACCTTGAACTTGGAGTCTTGATGTAAGTTTAATATAGTCATAAGGTTTTGATAAGCATAAGGGTGTCTTAGTTAGGTTTCATTGCTGTGAAGAGACACCATGTCCAAGGCAAATCTTAAAACAGACATTTAATTGGGACTGGCATACAGTTTCAGAGGTTCAGCCCATTATTATCATAGTGGTAATTATGGTAGTGTCCAGGCAGACATGGTGCTGTAGAAGGAGATGAAAGTTCCTATGTCTTGATCCAATGGCAGGCAGAAGGAGACTGTCACTTCCACACTGGGTAAAGCTTGAGCATAGGACCTCAAACCTAACCCCAGAGTGGCTCATTTCTTCCAACAAGGCCAAACCTATTCCAACAAGAACACAGCTCCTAATAATGTGGGCCAAGCATATTTAAACCATAGGGGCAAAGGGTCAGTGATGACATGAAGAAAATGATGGGACAGCAGAAAGAGAGAGAGAGAGAGAGAGACAGAGACAGAGAGATAAAGAGAGAGACACAGAGGCAAAGAGACAGAGAGAGAAAGAGAGAGAGAGAGAGAAAGGTGGAAGAGAGACTTTACATTACTATTTTAATGGGGGAGAGCATGAGCCAAGGATTTCAGGCAATCCACAGAATCTAAGGAAACACTTCCTTCCCTAGGGCTTATAGAAGATTGTGGCACCAATGTATTGCTTTTAGTATTCTGATTTCTAGAGCTGCAATTTAATAAGTTGGTGACGCTTGAAGCTACTACAATTCGTGATAATTTGTAACATGCCAGGGGAAACTCTTGCAGTATTTTAAAATACTGTAAAAGACAAACTGCAGTTGTAGCTAGGGAAGATCTTAGCGACTTTCTTTGGCTCTTTTGTAGTTCTCCCGAGCGAGTATTGCAGAAGTTCTTGTAGTACTGATGGAGAACAGTAGACAGTGCCTTGTAGATGAGCCTGGTAACAAGATCTTTTCCTTCTGTGTGTTGCCTCTCCATCACACTCAAACTGACTCTCCACGTGGTTCAAAACATTGTCTAATCTCTGCCTGAGCCCATGCTGGACGCTGACAAGGGAAAGGGACCAGATTCACAATTTAATGCTGAAGTTCAATGCAGTTTGTTACTCCTGAGGGATATTTTTTTAATCTGTTTAGAAAATTGTGCTACATCATTTAATCCATGAGGCTGTTTATAGAAACTTCATTGAATGCCAGTGTTCTAGAATCGGAAAATCTGTCCATACGATTTACTAGGTGTGTCAATGGCTTAATTTCAGTTTCTGTAAAATTACAAAGGTATTTTATTATTGTATCTGCTTCTGCTTCCTTGAGACTTGGGAAGAACAAAAGAAGTAATCTGTGTAAAATGTCTTAGCTTCTTTTTAGTCACACATAGTATCCGTTCATGGTGGCCCCCATCCCGCTAACAAGGATGTGTTTTCATTTTTTATAAATGCAGACATGGCTACTCCGTCAGACATAACACCGACCCCAGGTTTGGAATGTGAGGTATGGCTGTGTGTCTTTCAGCTGTTCCTTGTTTCCTATAGCACTTACAGAAGTCCAAGTGTCACCACTATATGAACACAAACCTCCCCTGGTACAGCATCCAGGTATTTTCGAAAAAAGAAGCAGAATATACATTATAGTTCTGTAACTGTGAATTCAGTGCTTATGTGTGCATGTGTGCATACGTGAGTGCGTGTGTGTGTGTGTCTAGCTGTGTATGCATGCATGCATGCATGCATGCCTATGAAATGACCCAGATCTAGAACTACAAATGTCTTCTTCCTTGCTGAGGTATTTAGCATGAATTCTAGGGCCTGAGCTCAGGTTTTATGCTTGAAAGGCATTTTCCTGATTAATACATCCCTGTCGTCCACAACCATACCCCCTTATCTCAGCTGATTCTTATGAATTAATTTCTGGTTGCAATAAGAAAAACAAAGGAATAGGTAAGTAAAAACCTAAGAATGATTTCTTGATAAAGAATTATCCTATTCCAGTTTGTTTGCTTTGTTTATTATTATTATTGTTATTATTATTATTATATATGCTTATTTGTTTTCTAAAGAGAAAAAAAAGGATGTGGATTTGGGTGGGAGGGAACGTGGGAATGATCTCAGAGAAGTTGGGGGAGAAGAAACCATAAAGTAGAACACATTGCATGAAAAAAATATTTTCAATAAAGATAATAAATAGAATTATCTGGTGGGACTTCTTCTTAAATCAATGACTCATAAAACTATTTGTTGTGTAGATACTATATGTGGCCTCTATGCAAAATATTGATATACCATAACCAAAATAGATAAAACTGTTGACCCACAGAACTAGTATTTTTCAGGTGAGATGAGAATACGGTGCCTTACTTCTCAGTTGCCCCACATTCTTGTTAGTTACTTATTCATCCAGCTCTTGTCAAGCACCACATACGGCTAGCTAAGCATAGTGTTCAGATGTCATCCACAGAACCTAAAAGATCCTGAGGTTAAACTGTGTCTAGCATAATGACAGAGTTAAGGCATGACTAAGAGAGCATTGAGCAGGGGAAGAACAAAGCAGGAAGTAAAGTGATTAGTTAAGATTCTTATAAAGTCTGTGGTTTCCTTCTAAGTGACATAGGAAGGGAATGGAGGCTCATAAGCATAATTGTCGGGCATCGGTGGGAGAGGAGTTCCTTGGTCCCCTGAAGGCTGGATGCCCCATTGTGGGGGAATTTGAGGGTGGGGAAGTGGGAGTGGGTGAGTGGGAGGGGCACACCCTCATAGATGCAGAAGGAGCAGGATGGGATAAGGGATTTCTGGCTGGGGGCAATGTGGAAAGGGGATAACATCTGAAATGTAAATAAATATATCCAATAAAAAAAAAGAAAACAAAACATCAGAGAGAAGCAACTTGAAAAAAAATTATATCTTCCAAACTGTTTCAAAATCTGGTTGGTGTTGTCTTACCTGTGGAGTATAAAGGACAGTAAAGGGCAACAGAGCTAGCTAGCATCTCAGGCACAAGCAGATGGTAGCCTAGACAAGGGTGGGGGGGTGGAGATGTTGGCGAATGACTGAACACGGGATCTCTTTGAAAGGCAGAGGTCTCCCACTTTGGGAGGAATTAGACATGAGATGTGAATAATAGAATTATCAAGAGTTTTAAGACTTTTGTGTTGAACAGCTGAAAGGGTGGAGTTAATGGGGGAGTGTGATCAAAGGGAAGATTTGAGGCCGTTGCAAGTATGAATTCAGCAAACTCAGAGGTTCCCAAAGTCAGCCTGGTGACATATGTCTGCAATCATAGCATGTGGAATATGAGGAGGGGGATCAAGTGTTAAGGGCCAGCCTCATCTGTGTATAGACTTAGTTCAAGGAAGCCTGGGCTACCTTCAAGCCTTCATCAAAAAAGAAAAAAAGAAAAAAAAGAGAAAAGAAAAGAAAGAATAAAAATTATGATCCTTCATAGATAGCAAACTACTGTGGAGATATATACAGTGGATGTGTCTGTGCCTGGGTGTGAGTGTGAGTGTGTATTTGTGTGTGGGTCAGAAGACAGCTTATGGCAGTCAATTTTCTCCTGTGATGTTAAGCTCAAGGCTATCACGCATGGTAGCAATGGGCATTTACTTGATGAAATCTGCTTGTAAAATGATCTAGAAAAGACTGTTGTTTAAGTGACCTCACCAGTGTTAAAGCAAATCCTAGGCATATATTGATTATTGTAGAAATGCTTCAACAAAGTTGAAACAAATTTTTAATTATCTTTGAAATGGTTTTGGTTTACAAAATGTATACTTATGAGAACAATGTGAATACAAAATTTAAAGCTCAAATGAAAGCCTTTTGGTTCTTGGAACTTAACTAATTTTGCTCTTTTATTGACAGCCTCAACAATTTGATCCTGTTTATAACTGTAGCCAATATATCTGCCTTAACATGGAGTGGACCTTTTACAACTGGTCTCTGAATTGCCCGAAGGACTTGGAAATGCCAGACTGTGGGTTCCGAGGATGGCCTGTTCAAGTGAACACTGATATATGCTGTCCTGAGTGGGAGTGTCCCTGTAAGTTTGCATTTCTCATTTGGTGAACAATGTCTGAATCAGAGAAGAGTGTTGAGGTTTTTGTATGTTTTATTTTATTTTGTTTTGTCTGAGTGTGCGTTACCAGATCAAGCTATTGCTTTTGATATTTCTTCATCTGATCTATGATTAAGTTCTTCCTATAATGCCTTTTTGAGTCACTTTTGTCAGACACTACCTAGGATTTATGTTTTTTCCCCTCGCACCCCAAATATAATTTAAGGAGGCACCCTTTAATATATTTTCTAATGTAGAATTGAGAGCCTTATAAAGATTCAAAATCTTGAAGTCATGTTGGCAGAGCCTTGTATGAATAGAATAAATAGATCTTGTAATTGGCAGTAATCATGCCTCCTGCCTATAGCGAGTATTAGCTCATGGAGGACTTGCTACAGCAGAGTTCTAGATCCTGTCTTTAGACTTTCTAGTTCCCAGAGTAAGTCTGGGTAATTCATGTTTTAAAGATGTATTTTTAAAATAATTTTATACATATCTATATAATGTTCCTTAATTAAAAGTCCCTCTCATCATCCTCTCTTATCTTCTTCTCCACACAGAGCTGTAGGTTACAGACAAGAGGAAGTCATATTTCTCAGAAATGTGGCCACTTGTACATTATCCCCACCCAAGGAAATAGTCCCTGTCCATGCTTACACAGCAATTCCCAATTAAAAGCAGCAGGCCACACATGCACTTGTGCATGGATGTGTACACATAAGCACACACACACACACAAACAATACAATAAACCATCAAAAACATCGAAGAGTAGGAGAGGAGTTGGGAAGAAGGTATGTATAGTTTGAAGAGAAAAATGAGTTTAAAAACTCAAATAGCAATTTAACAGCCTCTCTTGTACACCGTTTTGTTTTAGGTCGGTGCTCCATGTTGTCAGAGCTGAGTATCATTACATTTGATGGAAACAATGCTGCACTATCCAGCATGGCTTCTTACATCTTAGTAAGAATCCCCGGGGAAATTGTGGTTGTTCACATTGACAAATGTTCCATGAATCAGGTAGGCTGTAATCCTTCTAGTTGTCACTTCTTCCTAAATCTGTAGCTCATGTACATTGTGACACCCAGGATTTCCAATATTGCTCCCTGAATATTGAAACCAAGAATTTTTTCATGTAAAAATATTATAATAGATTAATAATGTAACTCTGATAGTTTTAAAGGACAATTAATGTGTTTACTTTACATTTGTTTCTTTCTTTATGTTTTCTTTCCCCAGAATGGACATGCCCTTAAAAAGCCAGTGAGTATTTGCAAATAATTTCGTAAGATAATTTTGCTTATCACTAACACTATTTAATTTAACATCATAAAATTTTAATTTGTTTCTAAATGAAGGCTTCTTTTGGACGAATCTCAGGACTTTGCTTTAAGAAGCTAAATGTGACAACATCTATACATAAAATACTTATCAACAGAGTAGCAAGAAAGGTAAGAAAATACAATAAAAGTGTTCTTAGATAGAATTAGAATAGGAAATCATGCAAAACAATCATTTCCACAGAGTAAGGAATTAAATGTATCGGTGTAGATTTATTGTTCACATGGATACACATTCTTATCATGGAAAGTTAGAAGATGTGTTTCATAGTTTGATATTTTCCCTCCATTTATATGAAGTCATTTATAGTATTTATCCTCCATGAGACTTACAAAGGACCACGTTAAACCTGCCAACACTCTCAGATGATGTGTGAGTCACCAAGTCTCTTCTTCCAGAGTTCATGTTTCAAGTCAGATGAAGAGAAAAGATGTAAAGGGGTTGGCCACACTGTAGGAAACAGTAGCAAAGAACCTGCCATGGCAGAACACAGGAGAAGGGCAGGCTGACTGGCTGGTTTGGAAATATTGGCACCACTGCTAAAGCAGAAAGATACTATATATGTGTACAACAAAATTATAAAATACTCAAAAGGAATTGAGTGGTTTTATTGGAAGATTTCTAACCCCCCAAAATCTGTTTAAGAAGTAAAGCTGAGTTGTTGGTCAGATGTATCACTTAGGTCTAAATGAGACACTCAAAAGAATAAGAGAAAATATATAAAGTTTTTGCTTTACAAGGATGGTATATTAACTTGCTTCCTAGATACAATTACTCAGTCATCGCAGTTCCATAGGTTCTTGGGTGTAGTTAATATTAAAATCAATATAAAATAAGATAGGGTTTAACTAAAACCTAAAATATGTAGATATTCTAATTTTTAGATGATGGCATTTGCATGATTTAATTTTGATTGAAATTGATAGAATAACCTCAAATATAATCAGTGCTATTATTTTGAGCTTTTGAGTGGAGGGGATTGCTTTTTGCTCCATTTGAGCTCATTCTTATCCAATTGCTGGTCATTTATTCAACAAATAACCAGTCATAAAAAATTATTCTTAGAGGTGATAAAGGTGAACTAACACTGATTCTGATCATAATTAATATCTAGTTGTGTGGATTTTGCATGCATGACTAGTGGTTGGAAAGTAGAAGGTACAGGATAAAATTATGAGTAATGTATTAGAGAAATGAAGAAGGGAAATGACACAGAGAGGATCAAACAGGCTTGTGTGCAAGAGGTGACCCTGGAAGAGGCCACAAGAGCAGGTTACAAATATGAGGAACCAGAAGATTGATGAGATGTAACTTTGCCAAAACTGTTGTTGCTTACAGTTCATATCACTATAATGACCTCAAACCACTGTTTTTTTTTTTTAAGTATCATCTCCTTGGCCTGCCTACATTAATATTATCAAGTGGACATGCTGAAGAGTAAACCCAGAATCTATACAAAATCAAGGAAGTAGAATCACTGATATTCATAATCTTTATTAAGTTTGATAGATGATTCTCTTGAACACCATTACTCTTGAATCCTGATTTAGAAGAAAAAGAATTCTCTATCTTAAATTAGTACTAGTAAACATTGTTCTGATCACCATTTATTGAAGGAATCAAACAAAAGCAAATATATAAAACAAAATTACTTTACAAGAAAAAAATAAAATACAAAGAGTTAATACTGAATATATCAAGGCATAGTAAAGAGTCAACAAGAGAGACTAGAAGACACCAGAAGACTATTTATGGCAGAGAAGTAAAATTTTACATATAAAACCTCCTGACATTATATAAAAGCCTGATTTTAACTTCTGTATTTTAAGAAATATTCTAAGGGCTATACATATCTTATTTTAGGTGGATGTGGATTCTATTGTTGTGCCTTTGCCCTTTTCAAGTCATGAGCTGCTCATAGAAGATTCTGGAACAATGTATGTGATTACTACTCCTGCTGGCTTAATCATAAAGTGGGCTCACCTTACAGGAATCATAGACATTCACTTCGGCCCCCAGTTTAACTTGTCATCTTACACAGAAGGGCTTTGTGGTGAGCACTGATTTTAAAATATCTCATTTCTTTAAACGTATTTTCCTTTTTATACTATATAGTTTTGGACCCAAATAGACCACTTCCCAGGTTGAGATGTAATTTTCATTTTTAATTCTACATGTGAGCACTTTAGAAAGCAAGGACTTTCAACAAAGGCTAATGAAGTAAGAAATAGTATTTTAAGTTAGATATTCTATTTAAATGTACATTTGTTGTGGATTTTTCTATACTATGTTCTTGTACTAACTCATGTTTACTGAACATTCATAAGTTGTTAGTTATATTTTAATTTACTTAATTATAGCCTTCATTAAAAAATTTGTCCCAGGGTTATCTTCATTTATAAAAATAAAGATAAAAATAAGATACAAAAAGGTTAAAGGCTTTACATATAGTTGTTTTTTTCTTGCAGTTTTATGTCTGAAATCTGAATAAAGCATATGCAAACTTGGAAGAGTTCACTGTTCTAAATATTCACACTAGTTTTATTATGATATGTACAGTTCATTCAGAGACTTACTATTGTAAAGTTTAACACACACATAAGCAATTATAAGTCAAACTAGACATATCTGCAGATATATAACAAAAATCTGAAAATAGATCTGGTGTCTCTTTGAAAGTCCAACATAACAACTCTTCACAGCAATGTGATATAAATACAACATTACATTTTTTGAACTGTATACACATTAACATTTGCTAAGTAGGACTTACATTTTCCTAGACTAATGAGAATATGTTAAAGAGCACAAACTTATATGGTGACATAATTTTATCATTCTAGGAACAGTTATTATTGAGTATAAAAAATAAGTAATAGTTATTGAGTGATAAAGCCAAATTTGGGAACTTGTATTTATTCATACAATTCACCTCTTGTATGTGGATTGGTTTCTATTTGATCTTCATGCTATTCGGTTCTTAGGAAACTAGTCATTTGGCTAACTAGATTCTATATAAGCAATATAGAGAAGAGAGTAGGGTTACCTTTGTACTAGTCACAAACCAGTTATTAACTGTATTGTATCTGTAGTTAGAGATATCTGTTAATTAAAGTGATCTCAGTATTTCATTAGGACTGCTAGTCTGAGTGCCAGCTAAAGGAACTAGTGATAGAGTGAGGTCCAAACTGAAAGGATTCTAGAATGGACTATATTGTATTGTGAATCCTTTGCATGGTGGCTAGAGTTAAAAATAATTTGAAATGTATTTGAAACTAAAAACATACTTTAGCACTATCACTGACTATAAAAATTTAGACATAAAGAACGAACAGAGGAGGGAATGAGTTTAAAGTAAGTTAATTAATTAATTAAATGGAGAAATAGAAAGATCAGAGACTTCTTTGATGTATTATCTACAGAAGCCAGTGACCTTTATTCATGCTGATAGTCCTGATTTGGAGTTATAATTTGATACTTAAAGAAAATGTTTAATTTACATGTTTTATGACATAAAGTCCTGAGACGTAAGAAAACTGACAGAATAATGTGGGGTGGGATTTGGGTGGAGTTTAATCAGAGCCCTGGGGTCATTTCTCTACACTTGGCTTGGGATTACAATCCACTGATGAAGAGTAAACTAATGTGTCTATCCTTCCTCAAATAATCTTAAGGCTATAGCATGCCAATAAATCAGAATACTTGGAAGAAAGATTATCTCTAATCACCAATCCTAGTTCAAATGCTGACAGTGATATCCTAATATTGAATATATCTTTGCTCCTCAAGTGACTGCCACCAGCTTTTACTGTTTATGTCTGTATTATCAATTGGGATTATACCAACCCAAATTCTCTTAGTTTTTTTCTTCTATTGCTATTATAAAATATCAAAAAAAAGCAACTTAAGGGGAAATATTTATTCTGATTCACAGTTGAAGATTTTAGCAGAAAAATCAAGATGACAGAAGCTTGAAGCACCTGACTACTCTATAATCACAATCAGGAAGCAGAGAGTGATGAATACTCATGTTCATTTTTTTTTTTGTTCTTTTTAGTTAGTCTAGGACCCAAGAACATGGAACAATGCCTTTAAATTTACTGTGGATCTTCCTACATCAATAAACCCAGGCCATGTATTTTCTCACAAACATGTACAAAGGCTAGATAGTCTCTGAAAGGTGTGTTCAAAAGGTGTTTCCTAGATAATTCTACATCCGGTTAAGTCAACAGTTAGCAGTAACCACCATAACAGCATATTCCTGGAGCTGTATCATGAGCTAGATAACAGAATAATTATTGAAAGGGAAAATTTAGTATGCTTAGACAAGGTTTTCCTTGGAGAATGGAAGAATGGAGTTCATTCATCAAATATTTACTATTCTGGAAAGTATATAATTTATTTTAACTTAAAGACTGTAGGAACAGAATCTTCATATACAAGATTTTCTTCAAATTCATTAGCAATATGATTTATTAAAAACAGTCATAAATTTAGAGGTTCTCTCAATGCTAAAGTCAAAGGATACACAAATTCAGTGTTTGTAAACTCATTCAAATCAACTATTCATCTTTTCTTTTAAAAGAAAATATTAAGCCTACTTAGTTGCATTGCCTGTCATTGGTGATAGTGAAATTTTTTTCCATCTAAAAGCCACATGTCCTTTCAAGGAATTTGCAATGACAATCCAGACGATGACCTCAGGATGCAGAATGGCACCATCATTACCAACATGGAAGACATAGAGTTATTTATCGGGAGCTGGGAAATTGAGAAATCATTTGAAGTGACAATGAGAAGACCTGTGAGGAACTGTACTGAGTATGACTGCAGCCATTGCATTGAGTTGTTGAACAGAGAAGGTTTCATTCCATGCCATGACAAAGTAAGTCGAAGGCAGCCAGAAACAACAGCAATTGCATTAGAGTTTATGAGATAAAAAAGATATCAATAGACTCCTGTTGGTGCCATGCTATTCTTCTACTCAGAATAAGTTCTTTCCCATTCTTCTGTCAATATGTTAGAAACTTGGTGACTCTAATTCTTTATGAACTTGTAGGAACACGAAAGATAATTATTGTGTTTTTTATGTTTTGTTAGAATTGTATAAATGTTAGAAAAATGGAATTATTTTCGCCAAATTAAATTTCTCTAGCAGAATGAGATCAATGGTGTTTGATAATCACGTGTAGAATTTCAGGCACTGAAGTTTTAATCCAGTCATATAATGCTACATGCTAGGATGTATATTCCTCTAACACGGTCATCACTTAGTGAATTTAATTGATCTTTGTGTTCCTTTGTTTCCTCAGCTTAATTGACTTTTTTCCTCACTCTCTTGATTTCTCAGTTAAACTAATTAGTAAATATTTTAAGAGAGCCGTGTCAATAAAAAGATTTCTTTTTAAAGAAAAAGGACAAACTAGTACAGAATTTTGTAAGCCTTTTAATGGGGTTAGTGACTTTAGCATATAATAGGCATGGAGCTAGAATCCTGCCTATGCACAAATAAGGCCTCCCTGGGCCTTCAACAAATCTAAAGGGAGGAGACTATGTGAACAGACACTTATAATACAAGGTAGGGAGAGAGATATGATTGCAGCCCTGGAAAAGCCTTCAGAGAGATGTACATATCTGAGCTGTACAGAAATACAAGAAGCCAGAAATAGGGAGGAGAGAGAAAGACCTAGACACAGAAAATATTGTGTATAAGAGAATATTTGGTATAAAAGTCTATGCCAGGAGAATACTGAGGCAGTTTGAAACATTAGATACAGGTGCAGAGGATTCTAGGAAGAAGAGGGAGGAAGTTTTAGTTGGGAAGGAACTCAAGGTACATGACTGTGCTAGACAGAAATGGACAGACTCTGTAGTCAGCCTGGACTAGGAGATCCCTGGGAGAATGCACAAAGTGGTCAAAGTTATGAACAAAAGTAGTCTTTCTGGAGGTCAGCTTACTTCGAAATTTAGGCTAACTGTAAACATGAAGTGTTTAAATATTTTAAATGCATGCACATAAAAACAAGACACACATACACCTTTTACTACTCAAATCTATTTTTAAGCCATTATCCTGTTCATTTTCTTTTTCAAAGTTTATTTGCCATGGCAGAAACGTTTATTTTGAGAAATTGAGATTTAGGAGGAACTTTAGTGACATTAATTTACTACTCTGATTATTTTAACTTTTTTTTTTGAAGCAGAGTATCACTATATAGGCCTGGCTAACTTGAGTTGCTATGTAGACCAGGCTGGCCTCAAACTTGCATCAATCTTCCTGCCTCTGCATAACCATGTCCTGGCACTCAAAGACATGCTCTCCCTGGTTTGTCAAATGGTTTTGGGTTAGCTCAGGGCCTTTGAGAAGGTAAAAAAATGACATAATTTATTATATGGTAAAATACATCTCTAGGTCTCACCAAGGGACTTCTGTGAAAAAATGTGGATCAACTACACCTACTTCTGGAGCTACGAATGTGATGCAATCTCTGCATATGTGGCCCTGTGCAGCAAGTTTGATATCTGCATTCAGTGGCGCACACCTGACTACTGCCGTGAGTTAACTCTAGCACAGCGAGACCATTAGCACATCCTATAACCATTATAGGATGACATCCTCTTTACAATCCTTTCTTCCTTTCATCTTTTGTCACAAAATAACTTAGTAAATCTAAAGTGAGCAGAAGAAAGGAAAACGACACGGTGCACGTGGTGTCGCCGAGCATGAGACATAAGAAGGAATCCGTTTCTGTGCGCCATTCTCTTGTCTGCTGTGTTATCGGGGGACTCTCCATTCCTGATTCAAGATGAATCTCTACCGTCTCCAGTTTCATTAGACACTGTGAGATTGTCTGCCGTTAAGATCATACCCACTTATATCATCTTCCACAAGCTGAGCATTCATTTTTAAACCGTATGACTTTTTAAGAACAGTGGAAATTGACAAGAGTTTTCTAAAACATAATTTAGAAGCTGTTCAGCAGTAAATGACTGAACCTCTATAGGAAGCATTTTTTCTTGTTTTTTTTTTTTGTTTGTTTTTTTGGAGTTGGTTTGAATTACATATTTAAGGAGTGTTTCTGTGTTTATCCTGTAGAGAAATAATATGTCCTATGGCTGCATGGAGCAGCAACTTTGTAATAGTTAACGCTACATTTGTGTGAAAGTGACTTGGACTGAATAATGGGAATATATATGTATATCTATATACACACATATATATGCAATATATATATGTGTCTTATTGCATATGCTTCTTAATTATGGAAAGAAGAAAAGTAATTTTGTTAATAATTAAATGGAAGGGCAGGAAGATTAGAAATATAAAGACACTTTCAGAAACAAAATTGGGAATATATATATATGTATATATATATATATATATGGAATATATATGATATCAATTAAATAAATATTTTCTACTGCAACATTAAATACTTTCTGAATACTTGAAGGATGCCTTTATTTGTGCTTATGTAGTAAATGAAAAACAGTTTTTAAAGAAACTAAATCATGTTGAATTTCTCTCTATAAAACAGGCTGACCCCTCTCTCAACCAGAATTTACATAGATTACCTTGGTTATTAAGCAGTTTTGTCCTTTATTATCTACAGCTCTGACCTGCCCAGAGGGAAAGGAATATCAGCCCTGTGTGAGACCATGTGAAGCAAGAACGTGTCTCAACAAATGGTTCTACGGACACTCCTCATGTCTGAACGTGAGAGAAGACTGTGTGTGCAAGGATGGGACCATTCTTCACCGGCCAGATAAAACTCTATGCATCCCAGAGCAAGAATGTGGTAAGGCCTAGAGCATAAAATGATTACTCAGTGATGCAGCAATCACACACATATAATATGTTTTAGATATTAAAAGGATATGTTGAGGGAAATTCATCAAAGATGACCTAGGCATTGAAAGGAAATAAAATCATAGTTTGCTTTTAATGTCACTTCAGTTGGAGTTAATATTAGGCTCTTTTATGATGATGGTCTTCAATCACTATGTGTGTGTATATTAGTAACCAGGAAAAACAAGGTTTATAAAGAATTAAAGTATTTTGTGGGATCAGTTTAATTATTTTGTGTAGAGATTCACTTTTGTGTCTGTGACTCTGAGGCTATGTATCAGTAAAATGAAGAAATTAATGGTACTTAGTCTTGAAGCTTAGAACAGAGAGACAAAATGTAATTGTAAAGAAGCATTTTGTGCATTCAGTGCCCTGGGAAAATGAGAATGCAGGAAGTAGTGGATAGCATTATGATGTAGGGGAAAACACTTAAGTACTCTAAGTTCACGTTCAAGTTAATTTTAGCATATTATCTTCATGGTTGTGACAAGTTTAAAAAGCATAGAATTCTGGAAGTTGTAACACAGCATTTTGTCAGTCACATGCATCTTAATTATGGCAAGAAGAAAAGTAATTTTGTTAATAATTAAATGGAAGGGCAGGAAGATTAGAAATATAAAGACACTTTCAGAAACAAAATTTTGGCTGCCAGTAAGGAAATTGACTGAGGAAGGTTATAGAAAAAATAGTAATATTTTCTGTGGACTTCGGTTAAAGAAAAATACAATGTATTAGCTGAAAAAAGAAAAAGAGTCTCTGATAAAATATAGATTCATAACTTGTTGGATGAAGTCACTGTCAAAAAAAACCACTCTGACTTGGCTTGCTTTAGTGCACAGTTGTAAATGAATTAGCATTGCTGTTTTTTTCTGAAGTATGCACTGACAGTGAGGATCACCCGCGCAGTGCTGGGGAGATTTGGAATGGTGGCATCGATGAGTGTGCCCTCTACAAATGTTTGGAGGATGGAAGAATTATTCCTATAGAGCCTATCTGTGATGAAGAACCTTCTCCCATCTGTGAACGAGAAGCTGAAGTGGTCATAGGCATTGTTGATAAGCTGACCTGCTGTTCTAAAAAAGTCTGTGGTATGTATGTAAACTAGAGCCATGTAGATGGGCATGATACTCAGTCTGAAAAACATGTCAGGGTAACAAAGAAGTACTTCCAGAAATGACATGTTTCCAAAACAAGTTGTGTGAATACATGTAAAGACAACTTGCCAGTAAATATTAATAATACACAGCAACTTAGAACAAAAGACAGAACTCTGAATCTTTGACTTGTGACCATAAGGGATGCAAGAAAATTCCAGAGGATACTTGGAGCTGGTGCTTTCCATATACCTCCAAGTTCGGGACTATGGGCTTCACTGCAGAGTGAGAACATGTTTGGCAGAGCCAGTTGTCCACTGTGAGTTGGCAGCATAAGACCCCAGTTGCACGCAGTAGAACTGTAACACTCTGCTGTTTATTTCTAGGCTGTGACATGACTTTGTGTGACAGGACCATCCCGATCTGCACAAGTAGCCAGAAGTTGATCATTGGCTATAGTGCACTTTCTTGTTGCCCACAGTATGAATGTGGTAAGTTAGTCTATTAGGGAAATTAAAGCTAGCTATCCACACTGAATTACTGATTAGACCCTCCTCCAGTGGGTATCTAAGGATGTATTTTTTTTAATCATAAAAGATTGTGAAGTTGCTAATTCCTAAAAATGCCTTTATGTTAAGACTACCACCCAATTCAAATAGAAAATCAATGGTATTATCTTATTTTAATTCATTTTATTGTCTCACTCTTACAAATTTTCAAACATAATTGTGATTCTGAAGAATGTGATATATTGAGATGCCCCAATATTTCAACGCCAGTTTGCAGAGATGACCAGTTTGTGCTTCAAGTTCGACAAGGAGAACCTTGCTGTTTCTACCCCTCCTGTGGTGAGTTCTCTCAAGATAAGTTCCAGTAAGAAGGGCAAGGATATCGGGAATGACTGTTTGCTGTGAATTTCATGGGACTTTTGGCAAGTAGCATTATGTCATATAGTAAGAATTGAACTGAACACAATGGGTAGAAAGCCGAGTACATTGTAAATAACTCTAAATACTATGACAGCCAGTACTTACTCCATCAACAAAACTCTCAGTACCTGTCCAACCATGATCAAAATAATGGAATCAAGGCTTTTCTTTAATGTGGCAAATATATATACTTTTAAAAAAGAAACCTTAGCATGTGCTTCTCTAGAAGACTAGAATAATGCACTGTACTAAGACACACAATACCATCATAAAACTTAATTTCTACATATCACCTGTGAACTATGACGGCCCCTAGACAGGATAGGAGTATAAAAAAATCATCTAGGGTGTAGCCATCAGAGAGTATTCTGTTTGATGAGCTAGAGAGTGAATAAAAGAACTCTGCCCCTCATTCAGCCCTGCCTCCAACTCAAGTGAATTATCGTACCAGGCATCTGAAGACATCTCCTAGAATTTCTTTATGCCTCCATGACTGTAAATGGCTAGATTACGTTTGAACAAAGGTATAGGGACAAGTACAGATGCTCAAGAGGAAGAAGAGATGGGGCCTCTATCAGTTTCCTGTTCTAGTGTGCTTCTGTTTCTCACTCACATTCCATAGAAAGAGATTCTTATTAATCAGACATGAGTTTTCCCACAGGGTAGCTGGATGGGGCTCCTTTATTAACAATCTCTGTAAGAACTCTGTGGATGAGTCATTTGCCAGAGTCATTCAGAATTTTTTCAGATCTGGGAGGGATGACTGGACAAGTTCCTAGTGCACTGTTCAGCCATGAGAGAGACTAATCAATGAAAGAAAAATAATTAGAGTTAGTAAATTGATCAATGGCATTTTGCTTTCAATAAGAATAAATTATTCTGCAGGTAAATGGCTTATATTTTGGATAGATGTCATCTTTTGAATTGTACTTAGGAAGCATAAAGTTGTACCTTTAGGCAATAAAGAGCTATGCATTATTTTCCTACTTCTCCACGAAGCATATTATACTCTATTTTGATTTGGACTATAATCTGAACTAATCCTTAATTTGATTTTAGCATAGCGTGACTTTGGTGTTTGTTTTTTCACCTTTAGTTTGTAAGGCATGCACTGAACCAACTCCGCAATGTACAGATGGGGAATTCCTCACAGTTAATCTCAATACTACACATTTATGTTGTCCTGAGTACTACTGCGGTAAGCCCATTTTTAAACATTTACACTGTTACAAAACAGTTAAGTGTGTCTATGAATGGTCCAAAGAGTTAGGTATTTAAGAAGTCTGGTGCATATTAGTGGCACTGTTAACGCAGATCCCCTTGTCAAGGGTCTTCTTTGGATGACCTAAGCCAGATAGCTCAATTACTGTAGTTAAATAGGCATTCATGCTATGCTCAAGAGGACTTGGCAGGTGGGAGGGGCGAGCAGCAACCGCTGGGAGGTGGGAGGGTCAACTGTTGGGAGCTAGAAACCCTGCACACAGCTAACTAATGAGGACAGGCAAGTCCACGAGAGTCATCTTTACCTATTTGATTTTGCTTCCTAGTTTGTGAGCCAGATCTTTGTCCTCCACCATCACTCGAGTGTGCAAAAGATATGAATCTGGTGAAAGAATTTATATCTGGACAATGTTGCCCAAACTGGCACTGTGGTAACTCATTTTCTATCTCAACGTTTTGTAATAACGAGTTGATGTAGTCTACGTCAGGTAACCATGTTGGTTCTCTGCCCTTCTAGAATGCAACTGTGAGAATCTTGTCATGCCAACTTGTGAAGTGGTAAGAATGTGCATTTTAAATTGCCTTATTGTATTGTTCAAATCAGTATCTTCTCCCTTTATCTGCCTCATATCTGAATTTTACAAAGTTAATAGAATTTTCCTAGTTATGTTATGTTGACAGATACTCAATTGACCATATTTCATGATTGTTAACCCTTATATACTTTATTTAACAAAGTGGCCTTTCTTGGTGTTATGCATCTTTAATCCCAGTACTCGTGAGGCAGAGGCAGGTAGATCTCTGGGAATTTGAAGCCAGCATGTTTACATGGTGAGTTCCAGGCCAATTAGGGTTACAGAGTAAGATCTGCCAAAAAAGTGATTCATAAAATAATACGTAATTATTTAATATACAATTTAATCAATATTATATTACTGAAGGTCCTTAAAATGAAGCGGAATAATGTTAAAAAACCCACTATTTTAATATTGAAAGGCATCTCAAATAACTCTTCTAGGCAGTGTACTTCCAATATGTGTTTTACAGAGGAAAAATAGGTATAAACATGTAACTCTTGTCTTTTCTTTTTTTTCTTTAGTTATCCATGACTATGTAAAGAGAAGTATTTCAAGGATTTAATATTTTTAAATAACAGGGGTGACTGATGATAACTGTTAATGGACTGTGACTAATAGTGCTTTATATGTCTTTTTATCAAATATCTACCTTCATCTTATGCTATTAGGCTTAGAAAAGAAGATATATCTCTGTCCTCATTTCTTAGAACAGATGTCTTCCAAAAAGACATTCTTACATTTTCATTTCCTCTTTTGATTAATGTGTACTTCCAGAAAGCTCATTCAGACATCCAAGACCCATGCTCTTTTGGGAAACCAATGAGGCATAGTATCACAGTGGATTTCCTCTTTGGACATCACTATTTTATTGTCAGCCATTTAACTTTATACTTGCTCAGGTGACGTTATCTGTGGTTTACAGAGACTGTTGAAGAATTAGAATAACTTTTATAGTAATTGCTTTTCTTACAACCAAATGCCTGAAAAGAGTCAATTTAAGAAAAACTTGACTTCAACTTTCAGCAGATATGGTCCATGATGTGGGGAAGGCAAATCGGCAGGAGGATGAGGGGCCGGTCACATTGTATCTGCAGATAGGAAGCATAGAGGGATGGAGGCTGGTGATCAACTGTTTTCCTCCATTTTTCTTCGTTGTTCAGTCTGTGACAGATTTCATGGCCTAATACTGCTTTCACGAAGGGTGTGCCTTCCATCCTTGGTTTAACTTACTGGAAATACCTTCATAGGCAAGCCCAGAGCTGTGTCTCCTGAGAAATTTTCAGACCTGGTCATTTTCACAATGAAGATTCACTATCACAGATTTCACAAAAGTGTTCATCTGAGTTATGTTTGTATTCCATGTACATTTGCATCAAAAATAGTTTCATGACGTCTACATCCCACAAGTCTTACTTCACACCAAATCTTCATGAACTGAACTTTTAGCTCACCTCTTAAGTAAGGAAGTTGAGGTCTACAAGGTTAAATGATGATTGAAGTCAGGATCTGAAGGGTGTGCATGGGTACGAGTGTGTGTACTGGGTCCTTGGCCTGTACTCCAATTGCTAGCAGAGCATCTCAGATTAGATCTGGGGAATTCCAGTTATTGAGGAACCTCATTCAGAGCTTCTTTGCTAGCTTTGAAGACACTTAATCAACATTTGTTCTCAGTTTCATGTAAACCCGTACTACAGTGAGAATGACTTCATGTCCCATTTGAAAAACTTGGGTTATAACACATAATGAAAGGATAGGGGATATGAGAACCGCCATATGCTACTTGTGGTGATGTAAAGTGGTGGACACACTTTCAGTAACAGTGTAAGAGTTCACTCCATTAGGCAGAGTTAGACTTGCTCCAACAAGTCTCCCACAAGAAAGAAAGGAATGGCACACAGAAACTTGTTCTTGAATATCATGATAGTCAAAGAGTGGAAACAACACAAGATGATTGAGTTTTCTACTAACCTTAAAGAAGAGTGATATTTATGCAGGAACACACCATCTTATTGAATGTAATGCTAAGAACTGGTTAATTATATACATAATACATATACATGTACACATATACATGCATATACATATATATACATACACACATATATACACATACATACACATACATACACATACATACATATACATACACATACATACATATACATACACATACATACATATACATACATATACATACATATACATACACATACGTACATATACATACATATGCATATATGTGTATATATGTATTTATGTATATACATATGTATGTATATATGTCATCCATCTATCTATCTATCTATCTATCTATCTATCTATCTATCTATCTATCCATCCATCCCTCCCTCCTGTTGGTGAAGTTGGGTACTTAAGAGATAAAGCTACTAGTAAATATGTGAGTATGGTCTCAAAAGGAATAGACAAAGGAAGGACTAGTATAAAAGTAAAGTTGAACTTGTGAGGAGATGGTGTGCATAGTTATGACCTTGATTACTAGAAATGAAACCTGCGGTGAATGACCTGTACAGAGACATCAGGCAGATCCCTTATTTCGACATCAGAGTACTATTTGCACTTGTAGAATTTGATTAACTGTTTTTTTTGAATTCCATTAGAAGATTTTTATTTCCAATCTTCTTAGCATTGTCTCTAGATTAAAGTCATAAAGCAGCAAATGAATTAACACTTGTGAAAGTACAATTTATAAAGCACCATAAAATGTAACATATTAGATCACAGGAACAAATAGCTATAAGCTAGTGGTATAAATTTAGTGGAATAAATTCTTCATAGGAAGAATCAAATTATTTTTATTAATATGTGTTATGAAGATTAAAGGCACTGTGGAAAAGGAAATGCTTACAAGCAAGTACTTGAATATTAAAACCTGGTCCTGTGATTGCTTAGAGGATGCTAAATCATTTCAAACAGGGTGAGACTTGAGCCTCAGTCATGACAAAAGGTTACTAATAGCTACAGGTTACACAGTACTCAAGGTAGGGGGAAGGTGGGTGGGTGTACCACCTCAATCCTGACCTCATTATACACCCTGGCCCATTTATTTCTTTCCACAAAACTAAGTGGCCTGTGGTTTCATAATATCTGTTTTGTGGATGAGGAAAACCAGGCACATATTGGGAAAGGCCTGTGTAACTGTCTGGATGATTAGTAAAGAGTGAGTCAAGTTCTACCTGCTGCAGTCCTACCCCTGAGTTGCAATTAGACACTCTCCTAAACTCACTGATGTGCCCTTTAGAATCTCAGGATCAACAACTTTGATAGATAAGAAAATTGAAGTACAAAGAGATTGAATAGTCTGTGCTGGGGAGATGGTTCAGTAGTTAACTTCACCTCACAAGTGTAAAGCCCAGAGTTAGGAAACAGAGCACCTGCGTAGAATGCCAGGAAGACACCTCACCCACATTCCTGGCACATAAGGACAATGACAGATCTTCAGGGCAAGCAGGCTATCTAGACTAGCTGGACGGATGAGCTCTGAGGAGACGTGAGACACCTTGCCTCATATGTAAGATGGAGAGGGCTCAAAGGAGATACCTGTTGCCCTCCGGTTTCAACATGCATGCACACTCTCATCCATGCACAAAAGACATACACGCACCCCTACACACAAGCATGTATACACACCTACTCCCATAAGAGTATCGAGAGATCCACAATTACATCTTTATTCTGATTTTTTTTCCCTGAGGGATCTGCAAACTAAATTCTACTCACTAGCAGGTTGGAGAAGTATCTCCATAAGTGTCTACCTGTGAGCCATTACTTATAAAGTTTATTCTCAAAATGATCATAAGTCACATGATAATTTCTTTCTAATAGGGAGAATTTGCCACAATAGATCAAAACTTTGAGACTGTCTGTGGATGTGTGCAGTATCTCTGTGGTAAATATTTTTAAAAATACTTTTTAAATAACACATTCTTACTAATAAAGTCTGTTGTTTAGCATTTGTGTATTTAATTAAACATTTTCTTTGAAAAATATGACAAAGTAATTCAATTGTGAGCATTCTTTAAACAACTATTTTTTGTTCATAATATCTCAAAACTATCTGAGAAATATGATAATAAGATGGAAAAAGGAATTATTTTCACTATAGTACTTTTAAGAAGACACTAGAATTTTTCTATATCATTTTAAAACATATTATCTAAATTCGTGAACATATTTCTTGTTCATCGTGTTATTGATGCGGGAAGTATTAAATCTGCTACTGCCTGCACCAGTGGGCCACATGGCACCAGAGCTCCCAAAGCTCTTCCCTGTTGTGGGAAATATTAAATCCGATTGGCAGTTCTTGAGCTACTGCCGGCATACAGCGGGCCAAAATCTCTCCATACAGGTCCCACTGTCAGGTCACTACCACCGTGTGCTTCAGTATTAGCATTTAAAAGCAAGAAATATTAGTTTTTCATGCTATGTATTAGTGCTACATAGAATGTAGAGTATTTCTTCAATGGGTTAAAATGCTTTAAATTTTTTTATGTGCAAACTAAAGAAGAATCTTAGGGTTAGAGGCAAGGAGACCTTCTGGGCTAGATCCAGCCCCCTCCCAGCCTGCTCTAATATGCCACAGTTAATTTCCATTAACATAATAACCATTGACGTCATGAAGTGTTACGGAATCCCACCATGAAGGGTATCACTATTATTGGATTAGATGTTATATCAATATAGTGGTCATAATCTATATCTGGAGAAGGGGCAGCAATAGCTTGCTCATCTCTGGGACCTCGTACTTCTAGAAGTTGCTATGAGATATTTCTCTTGAAACATATTAATACAAGTGATTTTACAGGGATATATATATATATATATATGTATGTATATGTATATATATATGTATATATGTATATATGATATATATATACATACTGCACACTAAGGGATATCTGTGCTATTGATGTTGTTAAATAAATTCTTGCATTGCTATAAATATGTAATATCTTACTTGATCCTAAAAATTTGCTTCATCATAATGAAAATATAGTAATTAATATAAGTTCTATCTATTGATTGGTAAATACAAAAGACAACATTGTGGGGTTTTAAAAATATTTATTTATTTATTATTTATTTATTCTAGAAAAGGATGATGTATGTGTGTTTCAAGAAGTATCAGTATTGAATCCTGGCCAATCTCTAATAAAATATTTGGAAGAGGACTTTTGTCATTCAATCGAATGTCTGGATGAAAAAGATAACTATACAGACTTTCATACTTTCAATGTTACAGTGGTGAACTGTTCAAAAGACTGCGATGTTGTAAGTATTGTTACAAGTTGCTCTGGAGTCCCAGTGAGTTGAAGTTTTTCAGTTAGAGAATTCGAACTTGTAAATACTTTATGACTTCAATACTTGACTATCTCCTTAACATTCTATTATTTTCTGAGCTGCATATTTAATGCAGACACTCACTTTACTACAAATGACCTTGGATTTCCAGAGTTGTCATGTACAGCTTTCTTGTTTGGTTGGCCTAAGATTGTTGCACCTGCTTGATAAATGTTGACTGGAAGAGGTCAACATGTACTTCATTTCTAAGTTGGCTATTTACAGTAAATTATTCTTTGAAGTCCTTCATCTTGAACTCCAGGAGTGCTTATAGATGTTCAGAGAGAGCATGTTAGAGTTGGAAAACACCTTCAGGACTAATGCACTAAAATACGTATGTCGCTGTGTGGATGATACTATGTCTGTTTATTTTATTCAGCACCAAATATACATTCCATCCTCCAGCGATTATGATTGCTGCGGGAGATGTAGAAATGTATCCTGCAAATTTCATATGGAAAATGGAACATCAGTTATATATGAGGTATGGATCTTTATTTCCTAAACCACGTCCTATGGACAGTAACCCTCTGTGACACTTTTTTAAGGTGATATTCTTGAATCACATTAGGGAATGTCATCCGTCACACATTTGCATACATTAGACACCCATTCATAGTGTACACCTCTCCGTACATTAATATAGTTCGTTATATTTTAAAATTTTTGAGAATTTTATAAAAGTTTTTTTTGAATTGCTTCCTAAGGTAATTTTAAAATGGAGTTTCACATTTTTCTGGATATAAGAAATGAGGTCCAAAGCGAATCATAGGCAGAGCCATAGCGACCTGTCCCCTGAACCTTCACCCAGCCGATACCCTGTTCTGAAAGTTATCTGTATTCCCCCTGAACACTCACACTCCAGTGTCATCCCCTTCCCCACATCCTGCCTTTCTGTGTTTATAACCCCTGTGTGAATCAGTATAAATTACAATTTGAAAAAAATAAATAAATTATATTTAAAAAAAAAGGAAATGAGGTCCAGAAAAAACTGGTACCTAATAATTTATGAGGAGAGTAAAAAATAGTATTCTCATGAAGCTGTTAAATTTTGCTTTTGATTTATTGGATATTACTATTTTATAAATATATTATTATTGTTGTTTTGAGACAGGGTCTCTCTGTGTAACAGCTCTGGCTGTCCTGGATTTGCTTTGTAGACTAGACTGTCCTTGAACTCACAGAGATATGCCTGCCTACTTCCCAAGTGCTTGGACTAAAGGTGTACACCATTATGCCTGGCTGAAATTAAAGATTGTTGACTGGGGATCTTGGAAGATATCCAGCTAATCATAAATTGAGATAGAACCTACAACAGTGCTTCTCAACCTTCCTAATGCTGCAACCCTTTGATAGAGTTTCTCATGTTGTGGTACCCACCCCAACCATAAAACTACTTTGTGCTACTTCATAACTGTAATTTTGCCACTATTATGAATTGTAGCAACCTACATGTTGAGAACCACTGACCTAGAGCAAAGAATGTGATTTGGTTCATCTTAATTTTTATCCTTCTATAAGAAATCTTCAAGAAAAAATTTGTACCTTTAAATTATAGCTATAACCAAGCAAGCATCATTGTGTGGATGGTTTCTTTTAAACCTGACAATAAGGGAGCTAGAGGTAATAAAACAAATATAAAGAAAAAGGGAGTTGTGAGGGGGTAGTTTGTTGTTTTGTTACTAGTGACGAATATCAGAGTGAGACAGTTGACATTTGATTGTTAGATGAGCACCTAATAGAAATAGTTACCTATGTACTACTTTCCTTCTGGGTCCTTTACTTAATATTGACATCTCATTCCCATTATGAAGCCAAACACATACACACATGTATTCTGAGTGTGTGTGTGCGTGTGTGAGCATGAGCATACATATGTGAATGCACATCTTGTGTGCATACATACTTGTGTGAATGCACGTGTGTGTGTGTGTCCGTGCCTGTTTGTGTGTGTATATGCATGCATACATATATCAATACATTCATGAATATGTGTGGGCATGTGTGTGTACATTAGTGTGTGTGTGTGTGTGTTTATTTGGTATAATTTTGAAATACAATTGGGGACATTTTCAGATGGCATGCTAATGTTCTAAGAAGCTCTCTGTCTTATATTGGGTTTGATTAAATTAAGATTTAATTAACATAAGGGATCTAAATAATATAACAGATCTTAGCAGGTATAGCAGTAACTTTCTCCTTTACTCTTAGGAGGGGAGCACTTGGCACCATAACTGCAGCACGTACGAATGTGTTAATACTGAGGAGGGAGCAAAGATTCTGAACTACAGCATGGTTTGCCCTCCTTTTAATGAGACTGAATGCAAACTGGTTTGTACTTTGTTACATGTGGAAATCTCGCATTAACTGGAATCTAGGAAGTGCGCATTAATATGTTTTCCAAGGTCCTGCAGACACTGTGCCTTATCTCTGTTATGGTTCTATAGTGCTATTTTGAGTTCAAGTTTGACTCCTGCAGACTGGATAATTTGCTGTCTCTGGGTTTTTATATGTATATTCAAGGATAATTGAACAAGCCTTTGGTCAGCAAATCCAGGCTTCCTTTAGGGTAGATAAAATGGCACTTAATTGAGTTTTACCTTTTTCTCTTAGACAAACACATCGATTGATTGTGTCACTAATGCATGCCCATCTAGTGACATTTACCTTGTTTCTCTGATACAAGCCACTGGAGAACTTAGTGTTTTTCTCAGATTCTATTGTTTTGCTCCATTTTATCTTCTGTTTTCTCAGAGAAAACTCTATCAAGAGAGATTTTTAAAGTGCTATGATTTTTATTTTAAAGCAAACTCTTTCCAGTGTTAGTTACTTAGACAAAAAGTAATGAATTTATGAGATTATGAATAATGAGATTTATTCTGTTGCATAGAAAAATAGCGTAGGCCCCCTGTATTTATAGCCTCTGATAGTGGTGCCTAGCAAGCTATCATGTGCACTAAAGTCATATTTAAATTCTGGAAAATGGGGTTTGGTTGAAAAACAAAAATTTCTCAAAGAAAAATTGTCATTTATGATGTTTAGAAATTTAATTCATCTAATTAATATAGTTTAAATTACTTTTAGAATTGAAAATAACATCCAGTTGGAATAACATTCATTATTTTATTATCTTAAAAATATGTGGAACATTGTAAAAGTATTCATTAAGTAGCATTTTTTTTTTACTTTTTGTATTAAGAAAGAGACAATTCAGTTTTTAACAAGATATCTTGTTTCTAAAAAATTCTTATTAGTAATTACTAGCATTTAATTATTTTCCTATAAAGGCTTTGTGGTAGCTGATAAAATATTGTGAGTTGACTTTCAATTTCAAGTTAAGAGGAAATGGATAAATACTGTATCTTTTACCTTTTACCTGTTTTCTCTTCCCAGAATGAAGGGATTGTAAAGCTTTATAATGAAGGCTGTTGCAAGATCTGTAAGTGAGGCTATAGTCCAAGCAATGATAGATTAGCTTTCGTGACTTGTATGCTTGTTGTGTTCTTCTAACTGTCTGTTCCTAAGATATACTTCATGAAATCTGCCATTTAAATGCTTTTGTGATGTGTGGTTGATATTCCTGTAATCCGGCCTTTATATTGTGTGACATACATAAACACTTTTATTTAGTTAAATTTTCATTTCATTTTTTGGACGTTTCACTATCGTGGCATTTTCTAAAAGCCATAGCCTAACATTTTCCATAAAATTCAAATAATATTCTGTGTATGGGTGTTTTGCCTGCATATGTGTCCGAGCACCACTTGCATGCTGTACCTTGTTGTAGAGGCAAGAAGAAGGGAGGGCATCAGATTCTCTGAAATTGGAGGTACAGAAGGTTGTGGGCCATCATGTGGGTGCTGGGAATCAAATCCCAAGTCCTCTGGAAGAGCAGCAAGACATCTTAGGTTTGAATTTCAAATTCACTATGGCCTACTTTGCTTGGAATATACTCAACTACACAAACTTGAGTAGATTATGACAAAGTGACAATTGAGATACCAATGTGGACTTATAGGAGAGTATAGTATTTTCACACCTTTTGAACAAATCTATAAGTCTGTATTTCTGGGAAATGCCAAGAGTGAATTATATTTACATTCTATATTTATAATGCTCATAGTATTTAGTTAAATACATATAATGTATTTTATATTTATTCTAATTATGTTTATTTTGTGGTGATGTTTGAATAATTTAAAGATTGAACTAGAACAGAGGACTATTTTTTTGCAACAAACCATTTCTACTTTTAAATATATAACTTATATGAATACAAAATAGGAGTTTCTAAAAAATTATATATGCAGAAACTTAGAATTTATCTAGAGATGCTTTGGGGGAAAATTATAATTTGGGTTAATGATGTCATGATAGATAAGTGGATTGTTAAATATATGTTAAAGTGTCTCTCAAATCAGATTTCTAAGTACCTCGAAGGACTGAATCCCATGAGTATACACATATAGAATATTTATTTGGTACAGAAGTCCCCCTCAATAAATTCTGAAATTACTCTGATTTTAGCTCAAAGAAGTTAAACAGCCTCTTAGTTCCATTGTGTATGAGCTCAACATTAAGTCCTCCCTTATATATAAGAGTCCTCCCTTCCAAAAGAAAAAAAAAAGAAAAGTTTGTCACAACTTGATATCCATTTTATTGTGTTTCTTTCTAGGTCTACTGTAACACATGATCTCACAAATCAGGTGGCTTAACTAATAAACACCAGGAATGAATTGTTTCATAGATCTGGAGTTCTCAAGCTGAGATGTTAATGAGCTGCTTTCTAATGAGTTCAGTGAGGGAGTGACCTCTATCCTTGACTTATAGATGACTGTCTTCATAGTTGTATCATGTTTCAGTTTGTGTTGTGTGTGTGTGTGTTTCTCAAAATTTCCCTTCTTTATAAGGGCCAGTCATATTGCATTATAGTCTACATATTGATCTCATTCTCAGCTGATTGCCTCAATAAAGGCCTTATGAACAAACAAAAATCACATTCTACAGCTCTACTGAACACAGGAAGATTTGAGGGGAGGGAAATCAAGGGTTTATTCAGCTTCCACTTCCACATTGCTGTTCATCACCAAAGGAAGTCAGGACTGGAACTGAAGCAGATCAGGAAGTAGGAGCTGATGCAGAGGCCATAGAGGAGTGCTACTTACTGGCTTGCTTCCCCTGACTTGCTCAGCCTGCTTTTTTTTTTTTTTAAGACTATCAACCAGCCCAGGGATGGTACCACTCACAATGGGCCTTCCCACTCCTGATCACTAATTGAGAAAATGCCTTACAGCTGGATCTCATGGAGGCATTTCCTCAAGAGAGGCTCCTTCTCTGTGATAACTCCAGCTTGTGTCAAGTTGACACACAAAACCAGCCAGTATTCTATGTAAATAACATAGTAGTTTGTTAAAAAAGTCATCCCTTTAATATTAATAAATATCTGGGGATAAAGGTACAAGGATAATTTTGGAGCTACTAAAATATTAGTTGTTAAAGTTATAAGCAGAAATAAAAGTGGGGTGGGAAAGGGTAGGGAGTAGATTAGATCAAATGAGAAACAAAATGAGGGAAAAATACCTGGAAAAGAGAAATTGGGATACCATCAGGGTCTACAGAGCTTAGAGATAATTATTTTTTAAATAAAATTTTATTATTATTATTATTTGTGTGTATGTGTGTGTGTGTATGTGTGTGTGTGTGTGTGTGTGTGTATAAATTTGGCCACATGCATGCCATAGTTCTTGAATAGTCAGAAGACAACTTTAGTAAGCTACTTAGTTCTTTCCTTCCATAGTGGGTTTTGGAGATTGAATTCAGGTCACCAGGCTTGTGCAGAAAGTTGTTTCATATGCTGCGCATCTTGTCCCCCAGCTTAAAGATTATGAAAGTTAGAGAATATCGTAGTTAAGAAGTAAAAACAGATAGCAATAGCACTTGTTAATGTCCACAGGTCTTTCTTGAGAGAAGGGGCCTTGTGAAATTTCCCCCTTTCATGTTACCACAAAAATGGACTTCTTAAACCTTTCCCACTACAATTCAGCTTCTCCTGAGAAATTTTAACAAATCCTGTGTATACAAATATACAAAATTTAAACATTTACTACTAACAATAAATTTGTTTAAAACAATTGTTTTGTGCATATATACAATTTTACCATCTTTTAAAGTTAAAGGAAATTTGCGTACTAATGAGATGGATGTACTTGCCTTATTTGTTATTCATGTTTTATTTCTTTCCTCTTCAATCATTCTTTCTTCACTGCTATATAAGTGTTATTGCTTTAGTTGTATCCTGCCCAACTGTATCTTATTGTTCTATATATTTATGGACCATTACATTGTAAATTCTCTACACACAACCCATACGCTTTCTCTCTCATCACTACCTCATTTCTTCTGTCTGTTCTCCATTGCTATCTGTATTTATATAGTTTTACTTACTCCTTTGACAGCTTTAGAGTCTCCTTTATATGCAATAGAGAGACACAGTCACATTCAAAGCCAAAGCTATTGTAACTGTCCCCATAATACAAGCCCATGATAATTAATAGACAAGTTAGTGTGTTTATTTTCTGAGGGCCAACAGGGCAAGAAATGAGTGGTCGAGCCGATGTAGGATACACTAGTATTCCTCTGCCTGTTTAGACATGACCACATCTAGTCCTGAAATTACTCTGATTTTAGCTCAAAGAAGTTAAGCAACCTCTTAGTTCCATTGTGTGTGAGCACAACATTAAGTCATATATCAGAGTCCCCCCCCTTCCAAAAGGAAGAAAAAGAAAAGTTTGTCATTTACAACTTGATATCTATCCATTTTACTGTGTTACTTTCTAGGTCTACTGTACCATATGCTCTCACAAATCAGGTGGCGTAGCGTCCTGAAATCATTAGGAAATCAAGGTTCAGAGCAGGAGATGCCATTAGACAATAATGGATAGAGGCCCACCATAGTTCATCTATGCTGAGCTCTTCACATTGCAGAATAATGACAAACTGTTTTGGTTTCTCATTTCTGCTGTGTTAGGGAATGTGAAGTAGATTATTCATTGACTTTAGGGAATCTTTCTCACAGGTTGAGATTCTGAATGACCAGGTTATGTTGTGGAGATGGTGGAGTGCAGATACTACCATGAGGGCTGTGATCAAGAAAATATACTATGAAGAAATCTGTGAGGGATAAATAGGACATATTTCTAGGAACAAAATATTAAATGAACCAACAATGAATAATACTATCCCAGATATTTGTTAAATTAGTTTTTCTTTGACAAGGACAGTTTAATTTTAGTCAGTCTTAGCTACCCATCTCTCCTTGAACCAGAGTAGCTTAATTTTACCTGTTGGAATTTCATGTCAGCAGGTATTTTTATTAAGACTATTACGGACAAAGTCATTTGAAAATTGATAGTGCAATTCTACCATTCCATAAATAAGTATAAAAATGAGTTAATGATTTCCCCAAAGTCACAAAGCAAGTCAGTGGTAGAGTAAGGTAAGAATCCTGGCCTTTGGTGTCCTGATTCATACTTAATTCACTATGAAAAATTGGTTAAGTATACATCCCTGGGTATATTATAATGTAATACTCAATTTCACTTTTGTGCATAAAACTGTATCACGAATGAGTATAAAGTGGTTTTTAAATTTGAAATTAAAGAGAACATTTCAGAGCCATAGAATAAAGAATGAATCATTCATGCATTACAATAATGCTGACAAGTAATTAAATTTTTATACTTAGCATATTAATGAATACTTATAAAATGTGTTTCAGTCTTATTTAAAAATTGTGTTAATCAATTATGTTTACATATTACATATTTACATGTATTTGAATCTAAAAATTCATTATTCCACATTTGTAACACTTTTAACTAATGATAATAGTGATTATTCTAAGACAATGAGGCAAAAAGTGAAAATAATTATGAATCTAGAAGGTGTAAGCTATATGGAAGGAGAAAATAGATATTGCACTGCAACGTCTAAGAGCAGAGTTTGAAAAATAATTTTATACTGACTATATGTTTTGAATAAATACATCATTTTTCAATCTAATTCTATTTACAGTTAAACTAAGGAAGCATTTTGCACGGAATTTCACTATTTATTTATTATTATTTTAAATCATTTGTAGGTATGTATATGTGCAAGCATGTTCATATGAGTGTGGTCCCTGGATGGACCAGAGGTGTCAGGCCCCATGGAACCGGAGTTATGGAGTTGTGAGCCATGTGATATGGATTCTGGAAGCTCCATTTATCTGGAATAGCAGCAAGGGCTCTTAACCACTTAAACATCTCTCCACCCCTTACATGGTCTTTTTGATGAAGAAATACATTTTTTCTTTTCCCCCCCAGGTAAACGAGAAGAAAGAATATGCCAGAAAGTGATCATTAAGTCGATCATAAAGAAGCAGGACTGTGTAAGCCAGAGCTCTGTAAGTAGAAAAGTGACAGTGGTTACATAAAGAACATGTGTGTTTCTGGCATTCTGTGGATCACTGACATGTGGCAAATGAGCTGAGAAAATGACAGCATACAATATTTAACTTTGAGAGTGTTCCTGCCCTTTAATATTAAAACATTCTATTTCTGAATTATACATTATTCTTAGGATAAATAATCAATATTTCTTAATGATAATTGCAATGTAGAGAGATCGGTATTCAGTCTACAGGTCTTTGACTGCATTTGTCTTTAGCATTGGGGTTTTGCTCAGGGAATGTGTTCTGAGTTATCAACTTACCCCTTTTAGAATGGCACACTCAATTCTATGCTGTACATCTACCACAACATGATACCAGTGACAATAAAATTATTGGGCTAGGATTAAGTTATTCGATATATCTATTCAGTTATGCATGTTCAAGCCATTCATTCTTTGAATTATGTAAGCATTGCTGTATTCAGAATGACCATGTAACAACCCTTTGGTGTATGTATGAATCATGTTCTAATGTGATATTTCCATAATCACTCATACACATAGAAGACTGGGGAATGAAATGATTAAAATAAAAAGCTCTTACTGACCCCCTGAAGCAATCAAATAATCACCAGTATTAGTTGAATTTGCAGACCTCGTTTCTCATTATCTATTCTTGCAGATTAGCGTGGCATCTTGTGATGGGAAGTGCCCATCAGCCACCATATATAACATCAACGTTGAAAGTCACCTGAGGTTCTGCAAGTGCTGTCGCGAAAACGGAGTGCGGAATGTGACGGTGCCTCTGCACTGCTCAGGAAATGGCACTGAAGTTATGTACACACTCCAGGAGCCTATAGACTGCACGTGCCAGTGGAACTGAGCACTTGCATTCTAAGAACGCTATACAACAGTGTCAAGTCAGGCAACATCATCTCTCATTACTGTGATTTAGGCACATGGAAGACTTATACTCTATAATGTATCTTTACCACTATTGGGATTTGACAACCAAACAGTGGGTTCAAAATGCATATAGTTTTAATGGAAAAAAATAGAGGTGTTGTTTTGTTTTAGTGAACTAAATTATTCCAAGTTGTTTAGCTGAAGTGCTATCACATTTAAAATAATAGGGCAGGACAAATTTAAGTATTACTGTAAAGTAGAACATTGTGCTGCAGGATGCCTTCCATTTCTTGTTCAGTCCCTTGTTCTGTTGTTTTTGTTAGTTTGCTTTGATTTGCAAATTTCAATTTCAATTTGCAAATTTCTTCCAATGCTGTCCAAACAGGTAGACTTGAATTTCTTTCCTAGTCTTATCAATGTGATCAGGTGTAATTGGCTGATGAATAACCGTAGCGAGTTATGTTTCTTAGAAACAGAACATAGAATTGTAGGATGTTGGCTTAGTTAACACCTCAGCAAATATTAGGATTGCTACTACAGATTCCTCTCAGTTTTTTTTACATGTAACCATATCATAACATTTCTGGGACTTCTGCAACAATGTAGCAACAATGTGATGCGTTTATGTTAATCAGTAGATGCCTTTCTAGATATTTTTGGTTCCGGTTTCATGATCCTTTATTGTAAATGGTGATTTTATAGAAAGGTGATTTTTAAAAAGTCAAGACTCTTCCATCACTAAAAGATACTAGATAGGATTAAAGCATTTTTAAGACCAATATCCTTTTAGAATGCCATACATACACTAATAGTTACTTCAATAATAAAGAAAAGAAAAAAAACATAGTGTCATTCATTATATAGAGGAAGACCTGGAGCTATATTTTTATACCATTAAAATTATTAATTATATTGTTACTATTTAACATTTAGTTTAGTTAACATTTATCACTGGAGACTGTTTCTAAATATATGGGTACACTATGAAACCTGAGAGCTATTTTGCCATTGAAACTGCTGCTTTGTCAGTGAAGGGATATACAATTATCTGAACGTATTCATAATGTTAGAATGGAATGCTGCTCTTTGAAACTACAGCAAATCATTGACACTTGCAAATAATTTGCTCTGAGGTCTTTGCAAATTTCCAAATTCTTTCTACCAGGGAGTATATAATTATTTGAGTTTCTTCTGTAGTAAAAAGAGAATGTCTTAGAGTGATTGTGAATACCAATGAAGGTCAATATCAATAAAAGGACATTAAAATTTCATTGAAAAGCCAATGCTTGGAGTTTAATAGGCTAGTGTCAGCTTGAGCTAAGTGACTTGTTTTCAAACATTCACGTTTCCATTTAAAAATCATGCTTCTAAGAAATACTGTAGTTATGAAGTGCTTGGATCTCCAGGGCTACTTATTAATGGGTAAAAGTATTAACTGAAATGTCCCAATGTCTACTGTACATGAAAAATGATTTACATTGTTTGTCTTAATATCAGTATTTTCTTTAGATATAAACATTTCTGCATCTATGATTATTAGCATATAAACTGAGTTAAACATTTTTTGTCTAAATACATTAACATTTTACATAAAGATGTCATGTATCTCAATCAGAAATTGCAATATATGTTACCTATCACTTTCCTTTAAATTCTACTCTCAGTGGAATATCTATTATTAAATATTAACTGATCTTTAAACGTATTTGTGGGGAGAAGAGAAATATTCTTCTGATATTTTATAAACAACAAATAAAGTAAACACATGTTGAAGTTCTATGATGTGTTTGGTGCTGCTCTAAACGAGGACAGAGGCAAAACAGGCCATACACAATCTTTGCTTCTGTGAAATTCGAGTTCAAAAAGAAAACAGTCCTTAACTAGTGATGTCTGTATAGACAACTAGATGGAGGACTGAAAACTTACAGGAATATAGTGTAAGGTATCTCTCAAGTTATCAGAAAGGCAAAGACAGACTGTCAGTGATGGCCGTTTGTAGGCATAAATTTTTTTCAAATTAATTTTAATAAGGGTTCAAGCTCTCCTCTAGCCCACCACTCAGCAGAGGTAGTGGAAGAGAAAAGTTATTAGGATATGGAGGACATGGATCTGTTCAGCAATAGTTCTTTGGAGGCGAGCTCGATCTTTTTGGGCAGCAGCTGTTGGAACAGTTGAAATGTCACTTGAACAAAAATTTATTTGGGTGTTTACATCCGCTGACATCAGAATAAACTGAAAACGAACCCATAATTTCTATGTGGATTAAACCAATAGAAGCTCTAACAGAAAAACAGGGAAGAAAGTAATTATTATCTTGTACTGAGGGGTGGAAATTAGTCTAAGTTTGACTGAGTATACAGCAGCCTCCACACCAAGATGAGTAAGTTTAATAAGAAAACTTGACACAAGGAAAATCTGCATGAAAATAAGAAGTGTCAAAAGAAAACTGTGAAATTGCAATGGTGATATGTCACAAACAGAAGTGACAGTCCTGAAAGCAAATAGTGCCTGATAAGCCAGGAGAGAAATGACTGTCAGTAAAAAGGGTGCCATATGCAGGTTGTTCAGAGAGGAATAAATACTGGTGGAGCTTTAAAATGAATGTGAAAATACCATCATTCTCATCAGGCTGGTAAATATTAAGATAATCATACTTTGTAAAAAAAAAAAAGGTCTGTGAGTAGACAAATTTCTCTTACATTATTGCTGTTAATTAAAAATTATAATTCTCATGGAAGATTTAGAGACATAAATCAGTATTAGGGAGCTGTTGGGGTTTTACCATCCTACATAGGACATACATCCTAGATAACACATCCATACAAACACAAAATGGCATTTGTCCAAGGCTGGCAATCTTAATTAGAATACTTTGTAATCACACCAGTAAGAATGGAATAAGTTATATAAATTTGTATGTTGTAATATTGTAACTGTGGTTGAAACGGAGATGTATATACGCCTGTGAGCTGGTTTTTCAAGACAGGGACAGGGTTTCTCTGTGTAGCCCTGGCTGTCCTGGAACTCACTCTGTAGACGAGGCTGGCCTCGAACTCAGAAACCTTCCTGCCTCTGCCTTCCAAGTGCTGGGATTAAAGGTGTGCCCCACCACTGCCTGGTGGTCATATCTCATCTTTGTTTAAGAAGATAGATTGATGAAATTCTTAGAAACCTAATTTTGGGTTTGTCGTGCTACACACTGGGAAAGCCCAGACAGGAGCATCATGACCAGGGAGGGCTACATAGGTTCAAGGTCAGCCTAAACTACCTGGTGAGAACCCAATCTTAAGAAACCATGGTCTGTGTGTAAACCTCAGTGAGAGGATGATTGTTTAGCATGCAAGGGTGGAGAGTTTGATCAACAACAACAACAACACACCCTACATGCTTATCCTTAAAATTTTCAGCCATGGTGGTCCATGAGACATTGAAGTAGGAGGATTGTGAATTTTAGACCAGACTGAGCTACAAAAGAGAACCTTATCTCAAACAACATCATGTATTTTTCTTTTTTTTTATTACATTTTTTCTTCTTTTTAAAAAATTGGTTATTTTATTTATTTACATTTCAAATGTTATCCCCTTCCCAGTTTCCCCTCCACAAGCCCCCCCATCCCCTCCCCCTCCTTCTGTTTCTATGAAGGGGCTCCCCCACCCGCCAACCCACTCCCGACTCCCCGCCCTGGCATTTTCCTACACTGGACCAAGACCTCTCCTCCCATTGATGCCCGACAAGGCCATCCTCTGCTACATATGTGGCTGTAGCCATAGGCCCCTCCATGTGTACTCTGTGGTTGGTGGTTTAGTCCCTGGGAGCTCTGTCGGGGAGGGGAGTCTGGGTGGTTGATATTGTTGTTCTTCCTATGTGGTTGCAAACCCCTTCAGCTCCTTCAGTCTTTCCCCTAACTCCTCCACTGGAGTCTCACGCTCATGTATTTTTTTTTAAGAGTTGAAATATACTTGCCATATGGTATTTGTATTGGCTGCTTTTATGTTGCTGTAATGCCATGACCCAAAGTGAGTCACGGAAGAAGTACTTTACTTTGACTCACGGAAGAATTGCTTTACTTTGGCTTATGGTTCCGGGACATTAGAGTACATTATGGATAGGAAGCATGGCAGCAAGGGGTAGGGATGGAGACAGGAGCAGGAACCTGAGCGACCATATCCTCAACCACAAACACGGAACAGGCAGAGAAGAAACGGGAAGTGGGGTGAGGTAAGAAACCCATGAACTCTGCCCCCAGTGACACAGGACCTTCAACAAGATTCTACCACTTGAAGGTCCCCAAGCAGTGCCATCAACCAAGGGCCATTGTTTAGATACGTAAGACTATGGGGACATTTCTCATTCAAACCACCACAGCGTTCTATTAAAAATGAATACCCTAATATATTTAACCTGAGTCTTGAGAGATATATTTCTATTTTTTCTCCTCTTAAATTCCTTAAGGGTGAAGTAGAATTAAAGACTCAGTCGCCATCAACACTTGGATGTTCCTGGTCATCTCACATTTGCCTTTTATTCACTACATTTAAATCAAAGCTTTTCTCACCAGACACTGTTTAAGAGTTTGTTTCCTACCCTTCATCACATCCCTGTGTTCCTATTAGGCAGCAACAGATAAGCTAATTCAAATGGTAAACAAAAGATATCCGTTCATAATGGCATAAGGGATTCGAGTTTGCCAATTAACTCAACCTAGTTATATGTTCACTGTACTTTTCCTTTTGTCTAATTTTCTTTATTTTCTCACATGCTAATTCCATAGTGCCTTATAGAGATACAATCTGGGAAACATTAACTTACCTGTCTCACTTTTATCTTTAGGACTACCTTTTTTTTTTAAATTAAAACAGTCTGGTAAACATGTTTATTTTAATAGATGAATTCAAATTAATTACAGATTTATGCAATTCGTTAACACTGCAAAGGAGAAAGTACAGATTCAATATCTTGGGGCTGTAATTCTCAGC